TATCAAAAACTGTTTTGCATGAAATCACTTGAAAACAGACATCTGCAAGAGTTACATTTCCAGTATGGCCAATTCCAGGAATTTCACATGAAATCTGAGGTTGATGCAATTAGCCATTATTTAAAAGCAGTAAAAATAGAAGAGGAATCATATACAAGGGATAAAAGTATCAGTTCTTTGGAGAAATTGGCTTTAAGGAAACTTCAGAGAAATGCATTAGACAGAGAAAGCTTGAGCATCCTTGGGTTCATCTACAGATTGAAAGGAGAAATGGATAAAACCCTGGAGTATTATGAGCAGGCTCTGAAGCTGGAGGCTGACTGAGAGCTCTGTGGGACATGATCCCTTGGCACTGAAATACGGACCACATTTGCATTTCATTTGGTTTTAGGTTAACATGTCAATACGAATCATTTTTTATGCTTGTTGCTTTCAGAAACATGTAATTCACTGTAGTGATGTAATTTTTGAACAATTACTCAAACCTAATAAAATACTAGTAAAATAGCTGTAATCAGAAAATAATTAAATAGAATATATACATCTCTAAGTGTGTGAAAGAGAAAGGGACCATTTCTCTGTGAGTGTTATAGTAGGAAAAAAACAGTATGTTGAGTAGATTTATAGCAAATAGAACACTGGACTCACATAAAATAAAATGTTTAATTCACTCATTTTTGTGAACAAAGCATCTTCAGTGCTAGATACCAAAAATGATACGGTGATGTATGCAGTGAAAAAAATCTTTTTCTTCTACTCATCTTAGGTTCCCTCACTGAGGCCTCATAAATCAGGGACCCTTAGTTCCAATGCAGTCCAGCTCTGACTGACACAGGACAGATCAGCAAGAGAAAAACAGAAGTTCATTAACCCACATATCACACATTCACACAGGAGTACCCAGTGATAAGTAACTCAAGGAGGTGGACCTTGGGTTTATACAACATCCTAACAAATGAACAATACATTTTTAGAGTAGTGACAAGGCAAAGGAGTTTCTAGGGTAGCAAATTGTAGAAAAGTAAATACTGGGGGTAGTGGGGGATGGGAACTAATGGAAGAGAAGGGCTAGTTAGTAAGGTTTGTTATGTAGATTCCTCTGATACTGACTCTTTGGCTGGTAAGGTTCTAGAATTTTGTCTAACAATTGTCTCAGGAAATTAACTTTGGTCCTTCCTTGTAGAAAGAGGAGGAGGGACACCTTTATGAATTTATGCCCAATTTTTAGGCAGATAGCAGGATGGTAGACAGCTTTTCTTATATCTGCTTCTTCTCAATTGCGTTCAGTTCCAAATAATCATTATGCTAATGTGATATATTTGGTACTCTTCAGTGAACAAAGCAGACATTTTTCCCAACCTTCATGCAGCTTACAATCTGGTGAGGGAACCAGCAAAAGAAGCGCGCAGTAACTCAAACGTGTTTGCAGAGAAACACAACAAGCAGCAAATCCAGGAAAACAGATGAACTTTGGCACTAGAAATGCTATTGCCTTGTAAAATAAATAAGTAACCGGGATGTAATGTATAGCATAAGGAATATAGTCAAAATATTGTAACAACTTTGTATGGTGATAGCTGGTAGCTAGAATTATCATGTATATAAATGTTGAATCACTGTGTTGTACACCTGGAACTAATGTAATACTGTGTGTCAACTACCCTTCAATAAAAAATAAAAAATAAAAAGAAATGCTATTGCCAACCTTACACATGAATATCTCTAGGCATTACCAAAAGGTCTCTTTAATTTGACAGCTGAATTTCAGGAGCTTGTTATACCCAAGCAAATGACTGACAGCACCTCAGCTGGTGTCCTTATTCAGAGTCCCTCCCCCAACTCAAGAACTTCTCTGAGGGCCAGGGAGTGTCTCCCATGTACTTCTAAGTTCAGGCCAAGCCACAGATCCTGCATTCACTCAATTACAGGTACCCCAGCCCAGCTCTTTTGCCAAATGCTGTCCACATGCCACTGCAGGCTCCGGGTACTTGAGAATCACCCTGACCACCAATGTCTCCATTCTCATGCTGCTAGAGCTGGAACTGCATTGGGAACTAAGGGTCCCCACCCTATAGCCTTTCCTAGCACGAATTACCCACCCTGGTCTGTGTCCACAATTCTGTATCTTGTCCCCAGCTAGACCACATGTGATACAGTCGCCTCCAGTCTGGAGTACCATGCTAAGGAGAGTAGGCCTTCTCTGGCATTCCCTTTGACATCCACCCTTTCACCCTGGCCTCTTCCTGAACTCCAGTTCTAGCCCCAACTTCTCTTCATCTACATTAAACTTTTTCTCGTTTACCTGAAGTCTACCTCCTATCTCTTACAGGCTGTGCTATGAGGACTAATTCAATAAATTAGATATACACATGAGGGTATTATCTGTACCTGGGTGGAGGGAGGTAGGAGAGAAGAGGAGGATTTTGCCCCTTAGGGCAAAAAATAAAGTTGCCTTTGGGACAATTTTGTTTGTCACAACTGCAAGGTGCTGCTGACATCTACCGGGTGTTTGTAGTAATGCTGCTTAAACATCCTATGATGCCCTGGAGAGCTTCCCATAACGAAGAATTTTCCAGCCCAAAGTTCAAGAGTGCCTCACATCTGTTTCTTAGAAGAGTTTATTACGTAAATTTTAGTTTCCCAAGTAGATTGTAGATCGGTTGCCTTTCTTTGTAGTGAAACATTGTAGATGTTTCACTTTCCATATCTTTTTCTCTAGTTGCTGTTTTTCGTGTTGATAAGAATAAATTCAAGAGATTTATTCTACTGATTTCACTGCTGATTTTCCCAAGAATCCAACCAATCCAACAGCCTGTGAAAAGCAGATTGATACTCAAATTCCATCTAGTACTATCAGCATGTTGAACACCCACTCAACAGTCAAGTGTTTGTTTCCTCAATAGTGGGAGAATGTATATTGTTTTCAACTTTTTACAGATGGGCCTGTCTTTCTGAATTTGAATTCCTAAACAAGTAAGTAGATAGCTAGTGTTATTTTCTCCTTTGATTTTCACCACTGATTGCTTACTTGCTATCCATTTAAACCTTAATAAGCAAAGACTATATCTTGGCCCAGATACAGCTCAGAGAAAGGAAGGGAAAAAAGCAGGAACATGGAAGAAAAAACATGATCAAGACAATGGAAATAATTTCAAAATGCTGGAGCACTATTAAATTTTGCTACCTCCTTGGTAAGGAGGAAATTCTGGGGTTAGTTTTCTATCCACAATAAACCATTCCATACCTTTACTAAAATTTGACTTCCCATTTAAGATAAACATAACAATAGGCTACAGGCCCACCGTATCCACATTACCTCTCTGACCTCATTTCTTGTGACTTTTTCCGTGCTCTCTCCATTCTAATTGCATCATCCATGCATGCCAAGTATGCTCCCACCTCCAGAAATTTGCACTTACTGTTTCCCCTGCTTGGAACACTCTTTCCTCATCCCATATCCACAGTGCTCACTCCTTTAAACTCTTCCGATCTTTGCTCTATTGTCATTTTCTCGTTGCAACCTTTTATCACCAATGTATTTATAATACAAACACCCTGCACTCCAACCCTCTCTCTGCTTTTTCACCATAGCACCATCTTGAGACAGAGACCTTGGGTGTAGTCAGAGTAGGATGAGGGCCTCCAGAAAAAGCAAGGCAGGATATTTACAGTCAAAGCAACATAACGATGTGAAGAGGTTCCTATTAAAACTCTGTGTTAAGCATTATGCAAAGTCAAGGTCACCCTAATTCTCTAGGGTAAAGATACCAGACTAAGAATATAGACATCTTCAGTGAGGTCAGTTAAAGTTGAAAAGGCCAGGAGCAACTTGGCCTAGAATGTTTGAGCGTTCTGCCACTAAAGAAGGGTATCTCAGCATGATCCTTGACTTCACTGTAAACAGCCCTAGCAAACAGACAACAACCCAGCCCACCTTGGGGGCAGGGCAGGTGGTACAAGTCCACAACCTAAGCCCTGTATCAGTTCCCCCAAAATCCTCAACTGCCTATAAATCCCCTACACAACACACCACCCCGGCCTCTCTTGTCCCCTCTTGGCATGAGCCAGGAGCTCTGTCTGTCCTCTCACTGTATGTCTCAATAAGTCTCCCTGGCTCTCCTACCTTGGGTGTTTGCTAAATTCATTCTTCAACTCCACAAACAAGAACCACGGCATCAATCTGACATAGAATGTTTCATTTGTTCTTTATTACCTTCATCTTCCACACTAGAAATGAACTCCATGAAGGTAGGTCCTTGTTTGTTTTGTTCAACACTATATTGACAGTACCTTGAACAATGTCTAGCTTTTAGCCACTGCCCAATAAAATTGGTTGAAAGAATGAATGATGGAAGTTGAAGGAGACAAAATTTTTATTGTATGGGTATTTGGCATTTTCTGCTTAGATTCCCTAAACCAGTCCTGTCTTTATAGAGACCTTATTAGAAGCAAGGTTGGCAAGGGTGAAGATGGCAAGCTCTCTCCTACAATTGTGGGTTGGGGTGCATAAGCCTCTTTGCAAAGCCATTCCACAACAGCTAATCAAAATATTTAAAATGCATTTACCCAATGGAAATAATCACACAGTTGCACAGCACTGCACTATTATTTGTTGAATCAAGACTGGAAGCAAGGACTTCCGTTTCGTTCAGCTTAGGATGCAGAAAGCTGGACAGAACATTGCTATGGATTTACGACAAAATAACGCTGAGCAATCTGCAGTCATTTTATATATTTAAAAAAATTCAATCAAGCAGCATGAGGACTCGGCGAGGCAGGTGACAGCCTCGTCCATAACAGAAAGTCCAGAGGTCCGGCTGCAAATGCCACACAGGACGACCCTGAGCTCCGCAAACGTCTCCCTCCAGCAACTTAGCCCGGCCAACTCACCTCTTCCTAAGTTTCCGTTTCCTAGAGGTGGACTCCGCCTAGCGGGGGATCAGATTCACTTTCCAGTTTCCCTTTCCCGCTCGGGCCCTGCCTTCAACAAAGACGAAGGCCCGGGCACCGACCGAGCGCGGCGGGCACCTCCAGGAAGCGCGCACGCTCGGGCGCGCGCGCGCGCCCCTTCGCTCTGCAGCCCGCGGTGCCAGCCCTGGGGAGGAAGCCGGAGGAGCCCGCCCGTTCCCAGGACGCCCGCAGAGCCCTGACACCATGAGGTACAGGCTTTTCCCCGCCGTGCTTCCAAGCCCTGCGTAGGCCTTTGCGTTGAGTGGCTGTTTTTCTTTTATTGCGTTTCCAGCGCAGCGCGGCGGCTCTTCTAGGGGCCGAGCCCCTCGAGCCAGGCTGTCGGGCGTCTGGTTAGGGACGCTCCCCGGGAACCCTGTCCAGCGCCCGGGCGTCTGCAGTCGGGCCTGTCGGGGAGGGTGTCCCAGGCCCCCTTCCCGGGAGTCGGAACCCTCCGGCGCATCCGCGGTCCGCACCCCCGCGCCGGGTGACCAGGCGCCCCGCCGCCGGAGGCCAGCCCTCTCCCCGTGGCTCTTCTCGGCGGCTGCGGTGCTGACCGTGCCTGGCGTGCGGCCGCCCCCACGGCCATCCGAGGCGGCTTCTGCGCGGCACGGGGCTACTTAGGCCCGTCGCCGGCTTCTCCTTCCCAAGTGTGCAGCTGCCGTCCCCGCAGCGTGGCAGGCGCGGCTTGGTCGCAGCCCCCCAGGCGCCACATCTGTCTGCTCCTGCCATTTTTCCTTTCTGAGTTCTGGGTCTGAGTTTTTCCCTTCTTGTGACCTACCATTGTTATTACGTACAGATTCTTATTGTTTCATCCAGTTCGGTGTTTTATGAGGATTTCTTTATCTGTCTCCTTTATTAATTTTCTCACCCATTTTGTATCCCCAGGGGCTGGCACCCAGCCCTGCACATGATTAGTAAACTAGCAGCATTTAGTACGTTGAGGAATGAGAGGTTAAGACCTTGGGCTTGAGGGGCACCCAGAGCAAAGTTTCTGAAACTTTGTGAGTCTGTTTCTTATCTGTAAAAATTAATGGCATCGCTCTCTTAGGAATGTGGGAAGAGTTAATTGCTTAGTACATAATATTTGTAAATGTCAATCATTATTATTTTAAGTAAAAAATAAATTTTGTTAAGTGCATCACGTCTAACATTTGCAGGAAGGGAGGGAGGTATCAGAAAGGGGCCTGAGGAAATGGAGGCAAAAGGGGGTGCCCTGTATATATGTGTGCAGGATGGGGGTGGACCCCACTGGGGATTGTCTTCCAAGGACAGTGAAAAGACTGCTCCTTCCTGGCTAAAAAAACACAAAATTACCTAAAGATAAATGTTGCATCTTCAGACACAGTAACCTCTCTCTGCCAGCTTCCCAGAGACAAAGCTTAAAAATTAAGTAGACAAAGTTTAAAAAGTAAAACTTCTGGTGGTGTCATGTGCATAAATTGCAGAGTCTGGGCAAAGCACTTCAGGGACTGACTAAATGTTGCTTTGAGATCTCACAACCACGTTCATATTACCTGAGGCAGCCCTCCTTAACTGCCTTTGGCCCAAGCTCATTGAAACCTGTAGAACAGAGGCAGGTGTTCATTCTGCTCTTTGGATGGGCAGGGGACTTGTAAGCCCATATTGCCATGGATCAGGGCAGGCTGTTAGAGGCATGGCATGTGTTGCCCATGATTTTGGTGCAGTTACACTTGAGAAAGGACCAACTACTAAGAGACAACATCAGTCGTCCCAGTCAGGGCCATAAGAAACAGTCTAAAAATCTATTTTCAAAGTTCAAACATGACACCAGAGAGACAGCATGCCAAGATAAAAGGACAAGTGGGATAGGGAAGACTCAAGTGGGAGAACGTTTGGAACCATTAGCAGGAAGGAAAGAACTAGGAAGAATTTCATCATCTGGAATTCAGGTGCTTTTTATACTAATCCTAAACCTCTTCTGGGCTGGACATGCCAGAAACTGTCGATATGTAACTGTATTCATTCATTCAACAAACATTTATTGAGCTTCTATTAGCTGCCTAGAATAGTAAATGCTGGGGACACAGAGATGAAAAAATAAAATCAGAACAAGGTCCCTATTCTCATGGCGCTTAGATTTAAATGATGGACACTAGACAAGCAATAGGTAAGTGAGTAAATAATTAACATAATGAGAAAATGATGAGCTTTAAGGAAAATAAGATAGTGTAATGGGCTAAGTGAATGACTTGGAATGGGGAGGATTTTAGTTAGCTTTGCCAGAGGTGGCCTTTTTGGTAGAGTCTTTGAGCTGAGTGACAGGGAAGAGCTAGTCATGCAAGGATTTACAAACAGCTTTCCAAACAGTGTAAAAATAACAGCTGTAAAAGTCCTTGAACTTGATGCATTCAAGATAGGAAGACAGTGAATGAGGAAAAGGGAGTAAGAGGAGAGAAGGTTGGACAGTAGACCAGGCCAGCTTCTTTAGGGATTTATAGGACATGCCACAGGCAGGAGTGAAATCTAAGGGTACTGAGAAGCCATTGGGAGATTTTAAGCAGGAGACTGTTAAAATCTGATTTACATTTTCAAAGGTTTATTAGTACTATTTGGGGATCAAGTGCAGAAGCAGGGAGACTAGTTTTTTGCCCCAGCTCAAAGGAAAGGTTATTGTGATTTAGGCTAGGAAAATAGCAGTAGAAATGGAGAAAAGTGGATGGATTTGAAGTATTCCTGGGTAGTAGAATTAACAGAACTTCCTATTGATTGGATGAGGGGTTGAGAGAAGAGGAATCAGAGATTACTCCCAGGTTATTTGGCTACTGGAACTAAGAGGTGTCAAACAAGGTGGGGAGGACTGAAGGAGGAACAGACTTAAGGAACCCAGGTTTCTGTATTAGATATCTGTATTTGAGATGCCAATTTAATTTGTAATTGAAGATGTGAACTAAAAATTCAGTAAGTCTGAAAATCAGGGGAGAGAGAAAGATAGGGGACTCGTTGGAAGGTCATTGGGTATATGTTAGAAAGTCTTTAATTGGATTGTAAGAAATACAGTATTTTAATTCACTTGTTTTTAATTATGGACAAAAGTAGAATTAGAAAGTCTTTCCTGACTGCCTTGCCACCACCATCAGCAAAACACAAATAATAAAACTAGGAACATTAATTAGGGCTTTGTTAATTGCAAACAGTAGAAGCCTAATTCAAACTGGTTTAGGCAAAGAGAGAGAGAGAGGGAGAGATTATTTGCTTAAGTAAACAGAAGCCCAGGGGTGGACACAGTGATCCAAGCAAGACTGAATCCAGGTATTGAGTCACTCTCATGAGCAATCTGTTTCTTCCTATCCAAGCTCTGCTTTTCCTGTTAGATTCTTTCTCAGGCTCTCCCCAAGAGTTTGAAAGATGGCCAGCCAGCAAATCCAAGCTTATATTCTACCAGCTTAAAATTTTTAGAAGGAAAAGAAAGTTCTAGCGAAGTCCCATTTCAGCAAAATCATATTTTAATTGGACTATCTGAATAAATCACAGGACTGGGGAATGGTTATAGAGTATCTTAATGCCTTCTCACAGACTAGAGTGAAGGATGGAAAACCTATCTTAAATCACATGAACTGAAAAGTCTTCCACAAATGAAAAACGAAAGGAGGATCTTTGTCAAGAAAAAGCCACAGAGGTCCAGAACACTGGGCTGTGACACCTTTCCTGGCTCACTTCCATGGAACTTTATTAGCATGCTGAATTGTATTTGACTGTTTACTTAGAAGTTCTGTATATGCAGGGCTGTGTCTTGTTCACAATTTTCACAATTATTCAGATCTTGCATGTAAAAGTCACTCGATAATGAATAAGTATTTCCTATTCTTTTCTTCTCCCTTCATCCTCCTAGTTTCAGAGACAGTTTTTCCAGTGGGCCCTGTAAAGATATACCATGCCTCACACAAAGGGAGATCAGCAAATTTTTGTGACTTGAATTTTATGGGCAATAAGTTAATCATAGGTGTTAGCCTTTATTGTTGCCCCACAACCCTAGAGGTCAAAAGGATGCAGCAGTTATATCAAAACCCACAAAGCTTCTTTTGTCCTTTTCCCATCGTTCTCTAACCTTCTGTTACTCTCCTTTTATCTGTCTCAAATTTCTGTGTCTCCCTATCTCTTGGTATACTTGCCCTGTGTGTTCATGTGCCTTTTCCCTCTGTGGGGCTGCCTTTCTTTTCTTCCTCCCTCCCTTCCTCTTTTTTTTCTTTCCCTACAAAAGTATTGTATTAGTGTGGCTTCTCTGTTCCTTGCAATGTACTATTTTTTCCTTATTTTTTCTTATTTCTCAACATCTTTTCTTCCCCCCCTTCACTACTCATAATACAGAAGTGGAACTTTTATATTACTTATTGACTGTGTACATATTTATTATTCTTAGTTTTCAAGACTAGTCAATAAAACATTTAAAATTCCCCTCTCTAAAATAGGTGGTACTTGTGGGTTAGTGACTGACAAAAGGAAAGAGGTACTCTGTAACATAGAAAAAACCCTGTCATCACTCCAGAACTGGCTTTGCAATAAATGAGAATTTAGTGAAATATTTCTAGAATATAACTGTATAGAGAGGAAACAAGTATAAAGGTATAGGGGTCTAGTGCTTTAACGGTAAGATAAATAAAAAAGATAAAGTTGGTTAAGCAAAAAAGCTACTTAAAGTTTAAAAGTTATTTCCTGTATTTCTTCAAAAATTAAAAAGGATTTTTGTCTTTGACAGTGAAATTTCTAAGGACTCCTTGAAGGCCATTCTGTTGGAATTAGAATGTCACTTTACATGGAATCTACTTAAGGAAGACATTGACCTATTTGATGTGGAAGATACAATTGGGCAACAGCTTGAATTTCTTACCACAAAATCCAGACTCACTCTTTATAACCTGTTGGCCTATGTGAAACACCTAAAAGGCCAAAATAAAGATGCCCTAGAGTGCTTGAAACAGGCAGAAGAAATAATCCAGCGAGAACACTCAGACAAAGAGGAAGTACGAAGCCTGGTCACTTGGGGAAACTACGCTTGGGTGTATTATCACATGGACCAGCCTAAAGAAGCTCAAAAGTATATAGACCAGGTAGGGAACGTCTGCAAGAAATCGTCCAGTTCTTGTCATTACAAGTTGGAGCGTCCTGAGATTGATTGTGAGAAAGGGTGGGCACTCCTGAAATTTGGAGGGAAATACCACCAAAAGGCTAAAGCGGCTTTCGAGAAGGCTCTGGAAGCAGAACCTGACAACCCAGAATTTAACATTGGCTATGCCATCACAGTGTATCGGTTGGATGATTCTGACAGAGAAGGGTCTATAAAGAGCTTTTCTCTGGGTCCTCTGAGAAAAGCTGTTACCCTGAACCCAGATGACAGCTACATTAAGGTTTTTCTGGCACTGAAGCTTCAAGATGTACATGCAGAAGCCGAAGGGGAAAAGTATATTGAAGAAATCCTGGACCAAATATCATCCCAACCTTATGTCCTTCGTTATGCGGCCAAATTCTACAGGAGAAAAAATTCCTGGGACAAAGCTCTTGAACTTTTGAAAAAGGCTTTGGAAGGGACACCAACCTCTTCTTTCCTGCATCACCAAATGGGACTTTGCTATAGGGCACAAATGATCCAAATTAAGAAGGCCACGCGCAACAGACCTAAAGGAAAGGATAAACTGAAAGTTGATGAGCTGATTGCGTCTGCTATATTTCATTTCAAAGCAGCTGTGGAACGAGACTCAATGTTTGCATTTGCCTACACGGACCTGGCCAACATGTATGCTGAGGGAGGCCAGTATAGCAATGCTGAAGACATTTTCCAGAAAGCCCTTCGTCTGGAGAACATAACTGATGATCACAAACATCAGATCCATTACCACTATGGCCGCTTTCAGGAATTTCATCGTAAATCAGAAAATACTGCCATCTACCATTATTTAGAAGCTTTAAAGGTCAAAGATCGGTCATCCCTACGCATCAAATTGACAAGTGCTCTGAAGAAATTGGCTCTCAAGAGACTTGGTCACAATGCTTCAGACGTGCAGAGTTTAAGTGCCCTAGGGTTTGTTTACAAGCTGGAGGGAGAAAAGAGGCAAGCTGCTGAGTACTATGAGAGGGCCCAAAAGATAGATCCAGAAAACGCAGAATTCCTTACTGCTCTCTGTGAGCTTCGACTTTCCATTTAAGTACATACACTCTAGGAAATTAGTTCTAAGCTTTCCTCTCCATTTTGGGTTCTTACGGTTTTGTTTATTGTTTTTTAATCCATTATTGTAGATCCAATTTTTATTGAATGGTTATGGTATACTAGGTGTCATGCTAAAACTTCATATACATTATGATGGACCTTTTGCTGGTTCTTTTTTCTTTTTTTATTAAAATAATCTGTTGAAAAACAGGACCTTTCCAACTGTTGTAACTTTTAAAAATGGTATGGCCACTATGAATTTATATCCTTTTATCTCTGCTATTTATAATTTTCTGATTAAATTTTGTCAAATTTCCCATATTACTCACTCATGTAATGAGTATGATCCTATATAATCCTTTGACACCCAAGTCAGGAACACTCCTTCAGGAGTGCAAAATTGTATTAGTTAAGTTCTTAACTATGTAGCTTGCGAAAGATGGAACTTCCCAGTTAGAGATGTTCTGACTTATGTATTTAACCATCAACCTGTCACCTAAAGAATCCTCTTTGTTTAAAGAAAAAAGTTCATAGAAGTTTGTCATCTCTGATGACTTCAATAAAAGGAGAAAAAACTTGAACATGAGAAAAAGATTTCCTCAAACACAGAACTCTGGGGACCATGAAAAATCAGAAGTATTATCTCCCAAGATGTTTAGTAGCTACGAATAATTATGAGAAAAAAAAACATAATGGAAAATTATTAGTCTGAAGTTTCTCTGTTTCTTTTAACTAGAAGAATAAGCCTGAATCTAGATGGAATTAGTTTTATTCCTTCCAATTAAAACTACAGTATTTTTAGGCTAAAGTCATTGGGATAGAAAGCATACCAGTGGAGACATTGGGAGAAATTATAAACAAGTGAGTAAAATAGCTGTCCTTTACCTGTACCCCTAGATTGCTAAGATTTCAGTGATTTAGTTTTGGGTCTGGACTAAGTTTTCATACCCCTAATATTTTCCCTTTGGCTAACTGTTCTAGTACTCCAAATTACTACTGTGATGCCTTTTGTCTGAAATTTTCAGATTGACAGATCTTTCTGTAGATTCTCCAGGGATAGTTAAGCATTGCTTTCAGTTATAACATCCACCATAAGTGGTCACTACTTATGGGCTGTTCATCCAGGGGACTTTTAAAATTGGGATGTTGCTAAAAGTGGCTTCTCTGGTGGTGTTTCTTTGATTATTGACTAGTTACATTTACCACCGCAGTATTAGTGGAAAAGTGTGCCGTGTGATTTAATTCTCCATACCTCCGTGTAGCTCTTAAAACTACTTTGTGTGTGTGTGTTTACTTTTTGTTACTATTTTTATGTTTTAAATTTCTATTAAGGTTTTGAATGAAAATAATGAATTCTTATATAATTTCAAACAATACAGAGGCATATGAATTAAAAGTAAGAGCTCTCCCTCATCCTACCCCAATTCCACACCCCCCAGGTAAACTGCTAACAGCTTGATACATATCCTTCCAGATATTTTTTCTGTGCATATTCAAGCATACATCCAATACTGCAATGTAGCTCACAAATTAAATTTTTTTATAATGTTTAGTATACTTAAGTCCTTGCTGTTTTGTTTATTTTGCTTATTTCACTTATTCAAAAAGGAAGAGTATTTTTCCTTTTTGAAATACTCAAGTATTTCAGAAATTCAAGACTGAAATCCTGACCTATCAGTAGAAGCATTTGTTACATTTTGTAGCAAATATTTTATTTTGTAGCAAGTCATTTTCCCCCCATTTGGAATAATGCTGTAATTAAGTGTATATTCCCAAGTAGGAACTTCACAGGCAAAAAAGTATAAGTTATGATAGCAAAACAAAGATACAATTATAAGCCTCTGTGTATACTAGACTTTAAGGTTTATTAAATGACCTTAAAATTCACTAGCTATCAAAACATTAAAGTATATAAGAAGTTATAATATACTGAGAAAGTATGATATCAGCATGTGAAAAATACAACTCTATAAAATAAATATGTTCATAACAACCTTTAATGTTGTAATTGTGTTTGCCTGCCTTACTAAAATGTGTGACTATTTAGAGAGAATTTCATAGACTTACGGGTTTAAAAACAACCTCAGAGTTGACTTTTATCAATTACCCATCAAAGCCTGAAGCTTGAATTATCTTCCTGAATGATAATGTCATCTTCAGACAGTCCTTATTTCTAGAATTTGTTCCTTCCCACCTCAGTGTGTGCTTTTGGAGGGCAAATGAACTTACCTGGTGAGAGAAATGCAACTAGAGGACTCTCATTGGCTGTAGGGTAAATCATGTTTGCATAATATAAATGCCATTTATTTTTCACCTCATTGGATCAGTAATTAGAGTTAAAAAACAACAATCTTTCCAACCTTGATAATACATGAGTTGGAAAAGAGAAGGAGGGAAGGAGGCTAAGGGAAGGGTTAAAAAACAAAACAAAACACCTATTCTTGAGAAAAGGAAAGTCAAGAGATATAGCTAAACTTGATGGAAGAAGAAATAGAGTTTTAAGTATGTTATTGTAAATTATAAAATTAATTGATAAAATAACTAAAAATTGACCCATAACTGTAAAAAATGGGGAGGAATTAGCATAGAAGGAGTTCTTTAAATTGCATTTGACATAGCAGGAAGCCAATAAAAGTCTACATTAAATAAATAGCATTATAAGCTTACCACAGACACCCGCAGCAGGTTGGGATAGCCCTCTCCCAAAAGCTAACCGTTATTCTTTCCCTCCCCAAAGAACTACAGAGCTAGTTTATATTAATTGGTCACAAACTTACATCACTCAACCTTCTACTGTAACACTCCCTCCTCCCCTCCTACCATTTCTCTTTCAGGACCACAGCCTCTGTGTCTCTCCAGTTACCTTAGCCAAGACTCTCTGGATTATTGAGATGTGGTTTCATCCACTCCTTAGCTTCCTCTTTCCCTTGTGATCAAGTCATGTGTACCTCACCCCACCCCAAACAAAACTCCTACCTTCTCTAGCAGTTTCACATTTACTATGATAAATTTGTTCATTAAACATTTTGTTGTATTTCGCTTTGAGTTTTAAAACAGCATCAAATTGCTAGAAGCAAGCACAGTTATGCCATTATATATTTCCATACCTGCTCTGAACTTAAGGTCCTCTATAAGCGATAAATTAGAATTCTTATTATTTCCTTTCATGATGCCACCTAGGCAGAGTAAAGGAAATAATGAAGGTGAGATGTATAAGCTTTGGGAAAGCTGTACCTCATAGGAGCACACAGGTGCTTCATGGACAAACTAAAGGACAAGCATGGATTGATGTCACTTGGATTGAATGCTGAAAACATGGCTTCTCCTATCTGTCAGAAAAAGCCATTACTGTCAAAGCTGCTTCCATTTCTACATTAGGGGTGAAAGAGGGTTGAGGGTAAAGAGAGAATTCAGAAGTGGGCCTATAGATGATTTCCCTCTATACAGTCCTACTCACCACCAGATGAGAGCAAAACCCCAAGAAAAAGGGAATGCTAGTTTAGCCACATCTGCAGACTCTAGTGACAAGAATATCATGGCTAACTTACACAGTATACAATATGTACCTGATGCTGTTATTAAACTTGTGAATTCCTCACAAAATCCCTGTGAATGAGCATTTTAATAATTTCTTTCTGCATATGAGTAACCTGGAATTTAGAAAAGTGAAGCCCACAGTCACATAGCTAATAAGAGATGGAAAAGAGATTCAAACCCTGGATGTTTGGTTCTAGAATCTAGCACTTAACCACTATACAGTACTTTCTGAATAGTCTTAAATTTTGGAATGAAGGAGATGGGAAGATAGGATCAATCTCTACAGAGACTGTAAGAGAACGCTGCAGAGAATCACATGGGGCTCAGACATTCTACAATCATAAGTCACCCAACACTATCGTACACAGAATCCCAAAACTCCCTGGAGGGAATCAGGAAAGGGAACTAGTTGTCCACATCATCTGCTCCTTCATGCTGGGATTAAAAGCTGCAGGGAAACCCCTGGAGGGAATGGCCTAAGAAATCAAGGGATGCAGCCTAAGGGAGAGGTTTGTCCATAGAGTTGGGTGTTGGAAATTAGAGATGTGGAATAAATTCCTTAAAAAAGGAAGCAAACCTTTGGAAAAACAATTAGAAGCCAGCACACCCGATCCTTCGTCCCTGGAGGAAGCACGCATCTCCCATGCATACACCAACCGGAATCAGAACCTTCATGCAGTATGGAGAGCAGCACAAGCAGGCAAGGGAGGACTGTGCCGTGGTTACAGGCACCTGTGACAACCAAAGGTGGGCTGGGATCACCTGTCTGCCCCTAAGACCCCGTACAAGTACCTTGCCTCGAAGCCACAGACTCTAGAAAATGACTCTAGCCCCTAATTTAATTGAATATTAATTTAGTCTAAAAGTAGCTTCACCCGTCTTCACAGGTTTTCCTTTTTCCTTCCTGCATTAACTCCACAACCTTACCTTTCAATCTCACCAGAACAAACAACAGACATAAAAACCAAACCCCAAAATAAAAACCACTTACAGGTCCTTTGTGCATAAAAACCCTTTCTTGAGAAGGTTTCAAGAGAGAAGAATCTACAACTTAAAATTTAATATTAGGTAATTCCTGTTTTTTTTTCAAAGAGAACATGACAAAGAGGGAAGAAAAGAAGAGGTGTGAGAAGGCAGGAAAGGATTGAGGGAGACGGTGAAAGTGAGGAGAGAAGGAAACACCCTCAACCATTTCCCAGTATTTCTGCCTCTTTCCATGATTCTGGACCTTACCTCCTTCCCTATCGCTTCTCTCTCTGAAATAGCAGCAGTTCCTCCATTTTCCTTAAACAGAGCAATTCAGTTCTCTCTTTTCCTCAGACTCAGCCAACAGACCTACTCAGGCATAACCAAATTAGTCAAGTTGCTTATCTCAACTAAAGGGTCTTTAATTTTTAATAGGATACAATCCCCTTTAAAGGCAATTATTATAAATACCATCCTCTCACAATTTCATAGGAATTACCATTTTAAAGTAAATTCAATCACTAAATTTGCCATAATTTGTGTACAATAAGCATGATGTTTTATGTTTCCAAATTGACACAGAATACACTGTTACATCATCTGGTTTTAACATTTCCAAAATTTGACTTCTGATAGGTGTTGAGACATAGAATTTAATCATTCATCAACTCATATCAAATCAATTAACACATTGGTAGTAGTGGGACCCTGGATGGCAATCTGGGTTCCTAAAGCAGGCAGAAGGCTCAAAAAATTTTTTTACATTACATTTTACCGATAGTTATTCCTAGTCAAGTCAATCAAAATCATATTAACTTTGATATTCCACATAAAGAACTAGGTAATCATAATGCTAAAAACTATAACACAGCATCTTTATCACTCTATTTTTACTTGCAAGAGGAAGAGAATAAATATGGATTGGGTAATGAGCTGGAATTGGAGGAAGTGAAGGAAACAGTAACAAACTTTAATGTTTGTTCTAAGGCTGGCCTTGCCCAATTGAACAATAATTGGAGGTGTCACCAGCTTTTGGGAGGTGGTCTTACTAATTCCAGCAGATGGCAGTGCTGTATAACACGTCAATGAAAAAACATGTCCCGAAGCTCTGGACACTTGAAAGAAAATTTACTAAGGAAAGGATTCCTTTTTGGAGTCGAGAGATGAATATCAAAGTATAACTGTCTTACCAACAGATTTCACCCTCAGACAAGTTCACTATGGATTCAATGAGACCAAGGAATGACAGTGGAACGTTCTTGGGGTGGAAGGGTTTATACCCAACTTTATTACCACGCTGGCAGGTCAATCACTAGAATCCCGTCCACTCAGAGCGAGTCTGCATGCAGCAAGGTGGTCTCTGCCTCTGGGCCTCTCTGCACCACAGCCATCTCAGTCTCCATCCTCAGTGCTGCCACCACTCCAATCTGCTCTCCTGCAGCCCTGCAGCTATGAAGCAGCCCAGACCTCTGGGTGTAGCTCTTTATATAGAGTCAATAACAATGTTTTACCCACACATGTGTAGTGAGCTAGCTGACCAGGGCCAGGTGAGAATCCTGGCCACAGGAACCTTCACTTTATCCACAGTAACCGAAGCCCTTAAATTCTTGTTTTTAGTTTAGAGAAGCCAAATGCAACCCCAAATCCAAGTGATCCCCAAAGTCCCAGAGCACCCTGTGGATCGCTTTGCCAAATCATTTATTAGTGTCAACTTGTGTTTGGTTTGGCTTTGACCTTTGGTATCTGTAGGAACCTTAGGCAGCCGTGTAAAGCGGCTGCCTGGCTTCCTTTTCCCTTCTCCCAGCTACTTCCTCTGAAAAGAGTGGGGGCTGATTCCAACGCATTCAATCCCATACCTGAGTTCTTCTGAACTGCCTCAAACTTCTCTAGCCCATAAAGAATCATTCTTCTCCTAACCTCCAGAGTATGCGTGGCCCTTCCCCTTGAGTCAGCATTTAACATCTTCATGGAGGTGTCCTCACCTGTGTTAGTTTCAATTTACCAATTAGGCAGGAAGCTTGATATCATGATAGGGGTACTATGGGTATTTTGAATTCCCTGTCATCTATATAATACGATGCCAGATTCTGATGAGGTGCTTAATAAATAGTCACTGGTTGATTAACTCCTCCCACCAGCTCTTAAAAGTGTTTTGCCAGAAGGTGTCTGATTTCAGTAGCACCCTATGAGTGAGAGGCCAGCCACGGGCCTGGGTCAAAGACCCTAGTCAGGGACTTCTGCTCCTGACTTAACCCTGTTGTAGAGTTTTTCCTGTAAAATAAAAGCAGCTTGTGTGGTGCCTGTAATTGAAACTCCGTCTTTTTATGCATGAGGCACAGGTGGCCCACCTTTTCCCAGTGTTCCAGGGCTCATTAAAGCAATGCCCCATCCCTGGGCCTTCCACTCAAGGTGAGCACAACAGAGCTAGCTAAGTCTGTCTGGACTGAACACAGTCCTCTCATTTTTACATTCAGGCCTCAGTCAAAAGTTTTAGATAGTTAATAGATTTCTACCAACTCTTCTCTTGGCTACCTCTATTCCCTTTTTCAAATCTGTCCCGTGATACTCAATGCTCTGGAGCTCCTACTATTTATGTGACAATTCTCACCATGTATCCTATTTAGACCCATAGAATTGGGAATGTCTAACATATTCCTGTCCATTCTGGGTATAAGAGAAACTTCAAGCAAACCCAGTCTTCAATTAGCCCATCCTTGCTGCATTAGAATTTTAGCCGTTTCTTCATTTGTTCATCTGTTCTTTTCACTCATTTATTCATTCACCAAGTATTTACTGAGTGCCTAGTATGTGTTTGGCACTGACTCAGTAGTGAATCAGTATGACTCCTATCCTCTGAAAGCTAGTGGTTTTGTGGAGATGAATTTTTTAAATAAACAAAAATGAATATGTAATTATAATTAACATATATCATTGAAAGGAAAGCTATGAGAACAAGTGGTGTGGGTGGTGATGGTGAGCATATATAATTTAGATGGGGGCAGTGGCTAAAGATAGACTCCTTAGGGAAGTAACATTTAAACTGGCACAAAAAATGAGGAGTGAATATACAAAGGGATCAATGTATGCAAAATGACCCAGGGAACCAGAGAACCGGGCGCTGCAGTGTAGTGAGTGGGAAGGGCACAGCCAGCACGAGGTCTGGAAGTGCAGCAGGACCTACACTTTGCATGACCTCGTAGGCCATATTCCAGCATGGGTACTGGATGCTTGACTAGACTGTAACTTGTGATTCTAAAATAGGTTTTCCCCTCCCTTGTTGAACTTGAGAAACTAGCGTGCATGTCAAAATTCTTTCACTTCTGCTTGGGCATGGAATGGCAAACTGAGAGACCCGGAGGCCTTGGTGTCCCTAGGTCCCCGACCCCTCAAAGAAGCCTCTGACACTTAAATAATTAAAAGTAACAATGCCACTCTCCTCCTGATTTCATGGGCACTTTTCACTTATTTGACACCTTCTTAAGCTTCAGGTAGATAGATCATATGGGAGCTGTAGGGAGAAGGGGGAAAGGTTCTAGCCAGTGTTTCAGACACCCAAGCCCACAGGAAGAAAAAGGTCCACTCAGCTTTGTAAGTAATGATGGGGCCCATTAATAGGTAATATTAAACACCCATACCTTCTGTTGGTATGAACAAACTATTCCTGCCAAGTTCGGTTATTCCTTGACAGCTGAAGACATGTCCTGTCAACATGCTAATATATTTCAAATGACTTCATCAAGGGGGAAGGTAATGGGTTGTCTTGCCAATGGGTTTCAGCCCCGGGCAAGTTCGCTATGGATTCAATGTGACCAAAGAAATTGACAACAAAACGTTCTTTGGGGTGAAAGGGTTTATCACCTGGCTTGCTCTCCCAGCAGTAGGTTGAGCACTTAGCATCTCTACCTACGCCCAGAGCACTGGGCAGAACTCTCTATATAGGGCAATAATAGCTTATTGCCTAAACGTGTGGAAGCGGTAGCCTAGCAACAGGCCAGTTACATCATCAAGTGGTGTAAGTTCAGTGAGGATCCTGGTATAGGAACCCCAACTTCCCCACAGGGTAGATTAGTGTAGATGCTGGGGGATGTGTGTACATCAAGTTCATTTTACTCTTCTTTCTACTTTTGTATATGTTTGAAAAGTTCTATAATAAAATGCTTTGCTTTAAATGTCAGTCTTTTTACCATTATTTAATATTTTCCCACTCCCCCCACCAAGTATTTTGCTATGCTGTGGGACAAAATCCCAGTCATCTCTCACCGAAGTAGCTTCTCTGGGAACAGGTATAAAAATCTATCTTTTGGTGGAATTAAGAAAAAGAAGACATCAGACTTTGAAGTGTGAGAAGAGAAACTCTGATACCTACTTTGAAGTCGCATTATTTCACTTCAATAAACAATTTTAGAATAAGCCCTATTGGGTCCAGGCAGGTGAGTAACAGACAACATTCCCATCCTCATGATCACTAGGCAGTGATGCAGACACTCCAGCTCCTGACCAAGAAAACATGACTCTGGGAATGTGAAAGGTACTTTTGGGATCGTGTGTGCTTCCCAACATCCCCTCTGCCTCACCCCATCTCCTGCTCCCCACTGCCCCACAAATGCTCCCAAATAGCAGTCTTGATAGTAGACAGCAAATTAAAACCACTTAGCCTAGAAGTAGCCATCCTGATAGGACCAGACTCTTGGGGGAACTATTGGAAATTTCCAATCTAGCGTCTTCCTGTCCATACTAATTGGATTGGAAGATTGAGGCATAATCGGAAGGATTTTATCTGCCCCAGCGAGGGCCTATTTCCCAGTGGCTTCTTGAGCCCACATAGGAAGATGATCCAAACAGGCATGAAGGGAAAGCTTTAGGCAGGCTCCAGAATCAGGTGGCTTCCTAGGTGTGCAGGATTTCACTAGAGGCACTAGAGTGTAGTGGCTACTGAGTTATTAGCTGTGCAAACTGGTGCCTCAATTTCCACATCTATGAAATGGTGATAACAGAGATTATTTTGGAAATTAAATAAAACAATGCATAGGAATTGCTGAGCACAGTAGCTAACACATTGGAACTACTCAATAAACGGTTTTGGCTTTTGTAAATTATTTGGTTGCTTGCCACATCTTTACACACCAGCTACATCCTAGCATGATTCAGACAAGCCCGCTCACCATTCAGTTCAAATCCCTTGTGCAAGGGAAAAATGTATTTCCAACCACAACTATAAACTCATTTTATTATGCTTTTGAAATAAGAAAATATTAGCATAAATATCCAATCTATTAGTGAAATCACAATCTGAAAAAGAGGCTCAGTGGTATAGTGTATCTACAGAAGGTACTTTCTTTTGCTTTTCTACTCAATTTCAAAGCAGAGCTTGTTGTGATATTAAGAAATATTCAAGATGTAGAATCATTCCACCAGAATTTTGTTCTTTATTCCACATAACACATCATTCCCATGAATCCCTCCATTCTTAAATGAACAGTATAGGCACATGGAACCTTAACAGCAACATTTTGTGTAGTTGAAAATGGAAGACTCTCAGATTTACATTTTCCTTAAGATTTCCATTTTCCTAGTTTTCTAAAATTGCCACTCAAAAAGGAATTAAAACACAAAACTATGCATGGATAAAGTCAAAATACCTTAACATACAAATTTTTAAAAATGAGGCTTTCTATGCTCATTTTTCATGAATACTTACAATACTTTAGGGAAATTATATTGCAGAACCAGATAGACAAAATTTTACTGTGATCATCACTCAGAAAAAATATCTATAATATTTATAACTACTATATATTATAATTCTTTAGACTTGAAGATTTAGGAAGTGACATTTAAAGGCTGTTCCAAACACAGATAACTCCATTTTAACTTTGCATTTTTACAGACATTTTCCAAATACTGTTTTTAAATTGCAAATGACAAGGAAGATGGGTTCAAAGCTAAATTCTCAAACTGTGTAAAAAGGTAACAGGAAACATTCAAATCTTCTTTGGAAAACAATTCTGAAATATTATAGTGTTCTCCCATCAGATCAAGTCTGTATTTTGCTCTGAAAGCAGTTATTAATATGTAAGTTTATGAAATAATACAGTTATAGGCAAAGCCTCTTGCTGAACATGCTTTGTCAACCTAGAATCTTCCTCATTGCTGTGTTGTTTTTCTCTCAGTACCCTTGGCAGGGCATTTGTGATGCCCCTTGGGGGACACTAAGTTAAAGGGCCTTCAAGGTCAAAACATTTCCTTGAGGTTCAGATTTAAAATTGTTGAATGATTAAAATCCAATTTCAATGGTATAACTTGCTCCTATTTATAGGTACAATGTGATTTGGGATTCAGGATTATAATTTTGTGGATTTAAAGTGTTTGGAGACATTCTGGGAGGTCCGGATTTCTCTTCTCTCTGTGTGCCCACTCTCTTCAATCTGAAGACTCAGAAATTATCCCAAACCATAGGAAAGCAGAGTATTTGGGAACGAGTACACTATTCTAATCCAATGAGTAAGGGGTGTGAAAGAGTTCTACAAACTGTAAAATGTCATGCCACTAGCCCCTTCAGCCCCCTCCTCCTGCTGCCCCGGCCAGAGCAATGATTCGTGGGATCACTGAAGCCTTCTCATTCAACTGAAAAGGTCCACCAAGTTTCTAATGATTATCCATACAGTGATGAAGAGCAGTGGACCCTGGAGCCAGAATTAAGAAGGGAGAAAGGAATCTCACCTTCAGAATGTTGCTTAAGAATAATATTTTTCAGGCAAAACCCCCAAGTCCTGTTTTGGGTAATGATGAACCTAAATGATCTGGAAAACAAACTTCCACCAGAGACCTGCTGACTCAAGAATTCAATTCCTGCCCAGTTGGAATACTGCCAACATTTTCCTGTTCTTAACAATGTGTCTACAATTTAAATAAAAGCTTTATTTCTGAAGAAAAAAAAAAGGAAGTGTTGGCACTAACATTTCAGGTAAGTTTTAGACACCACCTGTGTGACTTGGTGTGTTCTGCTAAATTCAGAGTAAGTATCTGTGACAGTCACAGAGGTGTGCACCTGGTCAGAGGTGAGCGCCGCAGTCTTAGGCAGAGAGCTTTCAGTGGTGGTAGAAGGCGAAGATGCCAAACCTTTTTCATAGAGGAGTTCCTCGTGACAGCAGGGTTGTCAAAGAATACTTCAGATTCTTCAAAAGGCAATGATTAATACAGATCCTCAGCAACCCCCGCTTCTACGAACAGCATAAAGTAAGCAAACTTTCATGCAGTGTTTCCATTTGCCTTCTAACTGAGGAGGAAAGATAGGGGTGCAGAGACTTGCAGACAAAGTTGCTTCCCAGTGTTAGCTGTCTGGGTCATGCCTTGACATTACCCCTCATAACAGCTAATTATATCAGCTCTGTCCAACATTCTCCATGGAGTGGTGCTCCTTGCCTGAAAGTTGTGAGTTCAATTGTGAGTACAAATCCCCAACAATGAAATTCTGAGCCAGTCTATCTTGCTTTGCTATTTGCTGTTTTTTTTCCTATAAACATGTTAATAAAACAATAATAATAATTTCCTTGGAAGGCAATGCGGCTGTCAAAATAAAATGCTTCAGAAACACATTCAATCTAGTGGTCCTACTTCTCTCAGCCTGAAGATTCCCAGGTTCAAGGCTGTTGGTCATGTGGGGCTGTAATCAGGCACTACTATAGCCACAGACTCACCATCTTTCTGATCTAATTCTCCCGCAACAGAATAAGCCATCGATCCATTGGTCCATAGCTGCAGCTTGGGGTCGGACTCTTGGGCAAGGAACTGCAGCTGTGTTTTTTTCATTTTCTTTACAAGTCTAGCAAAGCCAAGCAACACAGAACTAAATATCATTGAAAATCCACAGAGAAGAAATGCTGCTGTGTAGCTGCCAGTTGTATCTACGAGCCATCCTGTAACAAGCAACAGCAAAATGATATTGCTAAGTTGAAAATTCAATTATTTACCTACTCTTAAATCTCATAATTTGTAAGGCTAATAATAATAGATTGCTATTACCACCATTATAGTTTTGACACAGAAAGATCTCAAAATATTGTGCAGCAACTGAAAAATGCACCCTCTTTTCTAGGGAAATCTCTAAATGGATTGTTATTATGTCAAATGCTTGATAGAGTGTCACTCTTTCAAAAGTTGTTAGTAATCACATAATACTCAGTATTATTATTAATTCTATGAAATATGGTAGAAAACATAAAAAGAGTATCATTCAAATCATTGCTGTTGATATCATTTATCTAGGATGTTAAAAGAATGTTATTGTACTGAATGCTGGTGCTATTCCCACCACCTACATACTGTCTATTTTGAGTAACATAACATGCTTCTAGATAAAGCAGAATTCAAATTTTCAATTGGATCCAGTCACTGTAACCTATTCAGTTTGAAAATCAGAACTCTGGGCCATCATAGAAATTGCAAATGCAAACTTCAGTAGGTATAATTCTGTAATCAAAAGCTTTTATTTTTCTTTACTTCTTGTTGCTACAAATCTTAATGTATATTGCAGGGCTAAGTTCTGAGGAGAACCAGGCATATAAATGCAAAAATATAGGCCACAATGATCAGAGAATCAAAGGGATAAAATTCGACCTTCTCAGGCAATTATTTTGTGATGAAAAAGTTCTTAAAAAACTCCTCCAAACTATACACTGACAAGATCCACCCGAGAAGTATATGGTTTTTCCTCTCACCCACTTCAAATCCATTAGTCAAAAATGGCATATATAAAATGTTATAAGCCCCACAAAGTTTCCTGCAATCCACACTACTCTCAAATATTTGTTATCATGTGATTTAGTTGTACATCTCTGTAGCACCAAACAGAAGAAGCCAAGTTCAGAATTGTCATTTGAAAGGTAATTAAATAAGAGTATTACAGTAAGAACTCACATCCTAATCCTCTACTACCTGACAATGAGAATAATGTCTGTTTGCCAAAAGGCCATGAATTGAGAAAAGATTCAGGAACTCCAATTTCATTTCTATGACTTTTTAACAGAATTTTTCTGTTCTTAAAGGTTGGTAAACATGAATATTGGCTAGAGGGAGGATGTAGGAATATTTTGGGGGCAGTTTCCAAAAATTAAGCACCAAACATATAGTCCTGTATCCTGTAGTTTAAGCTGATCAGGAATTTTCATCTGCAGCAATCAAGCAGCCACAGTTTCCCCTAGTTTGCCGCTTTAGCAATTGCTGGGGTTTAAAAGTACCCCTAACTGTCTACTCACAACAATAGCTAAAGCAGAAATCCTGCCTTGTTAAAACAATTTCCCTTCCTTTCCTCCAAGCAAATGGTTGGCTCATTTCTCTTCTGCGCATCTTCAGAGACCTTCACTCTCTCAGTTTTAATTTAGGCAAGTAATAAACTGCACCAGTTATGCATGAGCATCACAAAAAAGCTGGTTGAGAATGTTAATTCCTGGAACTCAGCCCCCAAAATTCAGATCACAGCGGGTGGGTCAAGGAATCTGCATTTTAAAAAGGACCACAGGGAATTGTGATGCAGGGTCCACACCCTCATTCTGAGAGACACTGTTGTAGACCACGTACTCAAGGAAGGAAGAACGGGATTCTGATGTCTTTGCTGCTATAGCCAAGCACACAAGCTATAAATACTATAAATAAATGCTAGTGTACACAAGCAATAAATATTTGTTGAATTACTTGTTTAAATGCATATAATAAATATTTGTTGAATTACTTAATCATGCTTTAAATTTCTATAGCATTGTGCAATTTACAAAACATTCTAGATGCTTATCTGATGGTTCCCAAATCTGTATATCCAAATCTGGCCTCCCTCTAAAGCTCAGATTTCATCCTTAAACAGCTCTCTTAGGCATATTATTGGGTATTTCAAATATCTGAACACATCCAAACATTAAATTCATTGTTTTTCTGGCAAAGCCACTTTCTACAACTTTCTTATTTATTTCAACCATGCCATTATTTTCTAGGTTATCTTTGATTTCTTTCCCTCCCAACCCCACATGCTAAATAAATTCAGCAATACTTTTTTCCAAAACTTCCTCCTTGCCCCCAAGAGTTCATTTCCATTTCTGCGGTAGCAGCCCTAGTTCAAGCTTTATCAGTTTGCTCCTGAACTATTAGAATGAAATCCTAGCTGCTTCTCCCTAAAGCACCCCCATTGCTAGATCACATTTCCTAAAATATACTCTTTACCTTCTGCATAAAAACTGTAATACTATCCCTATTCTCTGAAAAATTTAGGGTCCAGCTCCTTTGGCTGGCATTCCAGACACTCCACTATGACAGCCACACCTACCACTTCAGCCACTCTGCCCACTGTCTCTTAGTGGAATCCTGTGCTCCCACCAGACTTCCTTTGAATGTGCCCAACTTATTTTTAAGTCTGAACAGTTGCTCCATTCCATTGCTTCCATCATTAGTGTGGAATGGAATTAAGATCCTAATTTGGGACTTCTTCTTTCCCAATAGGCTAAGGTACCCACTTATTCGAAGAAGATTCGAAAACAATAATCTGGTGAGAACATTATGTTTTGGTAGCTTTTGCATCCCTTTCTCCTTCACTCTTTCCAACTTACTTCCAATCCTCATTGTCTGTGTGTGAGTTCACTGTTTTCACACCAATACGATAAAGAGAAGAGGTGGTTGGGGTTCTCTCTGTAAACTTACCTGCGATGGGTGGGCTCACCAAATATGGCACTGCATGGAGGAAGTACACCACACCGAGCGCTGACGACAAAGAAGTGGTCCCCACTATTTCAGCAGTCACTACCGGGATCAAAGTCACGTAGGCACCATCGAAGTAGCCAAAGGTACAGGAGAAAGGCACGAGCAGGGGAAGACTTTGAAGTATGGGGAGGCAGAGATAGCAGAGCCCATCTAGTCCCACAGCAAAGAGGTAGCAAATATACTGGTAATTCTTCAGACACCTATGGATTTGAAGACCAAGAATGAGTGCAGTATGCAGAGTCTCAAAGAGCTTTAGAACCATGGCCATACAGCCATAAACATGGCAGCTATTTAGGGCAGGCTTCCCCACTGTGTTTTATTTCTGTTGTCTGACTATCTCTCTTTTGATATATGTAAATGCAATAATTTATCCTCCCAGGAAGCATCGTGTGGTAGAAAACAATATATGCTCTAAAATTTAGAAAGTCAGACATTTGAATCAAGTTCTATCACCTACCAACTGTCTAACTTTAGGTTACCTATCTCGTAGGGTTACTTTAAGGATAGTTAAAAATGACATGTAGGAAACTAATATTTTCTAGCAGCCTACCATATTAGATGCTTTCAGATATGTCATCATAGATGCTCAGTAACACAAGTGGTAATCCACAGGGGAAGCTGGAATATGAAGACATTAAAATAATAATTTGCTAGAGATTACAGACAGCTTGTACTAGGACTGTCTTATTTCAAGGCCTCCCCAATGGTACTTCTATTACATTTTCCCCCTGTAGATCTAAACCAATCTATGATACAATTATTTCAAATATTCTGTATATTATCATCATTAGCAGTTTATGCTTTGCAAACATTTTCCCACCCACAGGCTCATCTGAGCATCAAAAATGCTAAGCGGTCAACAGGCAAATAGTGCCCTGGCCTGTTTTACAGATGAAAACCTTTGAGGAGCTGAAGGTTAGGTGATTTCCCTAGGCCACAGGGATAATAAGGGGCAGAGCCAGCATAAGAACTTAAGGTCTTGTATATCTCATACTAGAGATCTTTCTATCAGACCTATAGAGGGCTGCTTCTTGTTGAGTTATTTGATAGTAAAAATAAGATACCTCTTGTCTCTCCCCACCCCCGCAACTTCCTTAACCATTAAAAATGTGGAATTAATCTTTAATACTGTATGCATAATGCTGCAGAATGGCAGCTGGACCTTGATTAATTACCAAAGATATACTGTGAAGCGACATGATGATAGATCTCCCAGGTCATAGCTCAAGTGTGAACAGTCCATCACTTAAGAGAATATGAGTAGCTTGCTCTCTCCAATCTAAACAGATAAGCATTAACTGAAAAAACTACTCAGTAGATTTCTTTTAGCTTTGACTTCTAAGCCTAAAAATCTTATAAAGGTATTTGCTCTTTGCACTGTCAAACATAACTATGGGGCTACAGATAATGTGTTCTTACTGCACCTGATCCTCCTGTCGAGATTGGATTCTGCTTCTTTCTCCATTGTCAGCCAGTCTCTGGGGTGACTGAGAAGAAATCAGCCAGCCAGAAGTTGTTTTACCTGAGGACTGACTTGCCTTGGGTTGGAATTTTATCTGTCCCCAAAGCTTGTAGTTACTCTAGGCTCCTGCAGTTTAGACAAACCCACCATCTTAAACCATCTAGAACAGGGGTGTCCAAGTTATAGACAAATCCAGTCAATCACCTATTTTTGTACTATCTGTGAATTAAGAATGGTTAGAAAAAAAACAACAAAAGAGCAATAACATTTTGTAACATGTAAAATTTCAGGGTCCCCAAATAAAGTCTTATTGGAACACAGCTACTCTTGTTTGTATACATATGGTCTGCGGCTGTTTTGTGTTGCAACAGCAGAACTGGGTAGTTGCAATCATGTGACCCACAGAGTGAAAAATGTTTACATCTATCCCTTTATGGAAAAAGTGTGCCAATCTCTGACTAGAAGAACCAGCAAGATAATTGCTTTCAGATACTGAAATTTTGTTGACATTATTCAGACGTAGGTAATTTACAGAGTTAAGAGGTAGAGAAGAAACTTAAAGCTTAAATCCCCTGGTAGGGAACCAATTGTGGTTTCACAGATTTTACCTTCTGTCGGTTAGCCATCCAAATGTGATATTTCCAATAATGTCGATCACCCCAAGTACGGACATAAGAAAAGCAGCCTGCTGGTGACTCACTCCGACGCTCAAAGCATAAGGCACCAAATACACAAAGAGAGGGCTGCAGCCATAAGCCATAAACAGAACAGAAATGGCTAACACAACAAAGTCTGACATCAGTAAAAAACTGTATTCTTGCTGCAAAGAGCAACAAAGGCAGGTCTGCACCCACTCTTTGGTCAAAGTTGAGCAGGGAGATGCCCGCTTAAAGTCTCGTTTCTGAGCTCTACCGACGTGGTTCTGCTCTGGAGTTGTATGGTCCTCTTTAAGAGTAATTGGCCGCATCAAGGCACCGCAAACACAGAGATTCAAAACGAAGCCCCCAAGAATGAGTAACGCTCCCTGCCAGGAAAACTGTTCAATAAGGAGCTGAACCACAGGAGCCAGGATGAAGGTGCCAATGCCACTTCCCGACATGGCGATCCCGTAAGCAAGGGCTTTCCGTCTGCTGAAATACTTGCCGACCATGGCGATAGCTGGAGAGTAACACAGCGCGAATCCAAGACCTGGGCACAGAGAGCTCTGTGAATGCTGGGACACCATGGACAGCCAATGAAAGATAGCAGCTCAGAATACAATTGATTTGGATTAAAGGCAATCTGACCTTCTGTTAATCCCCTCAAAACTGTTTTCTACACCAAGGTGAAAATGAGCCTCCCCTTTCCAGCCATCCACAATTTGATAAGTACAGCATATATGACTTTTTTCTTGGGAGGAAAAACCTTATGGAGATATTACTTCTTAAAATGAAATGAAGACCTTAAAACCTATTACACAGATTAAATTGAAATTAACTAGAAGATCAAGATATTGCTGACCTAAGAATTCATTCTCTCCACCAACACCTCTTTTTATCTTAATTTATCCAGAGAATTACCTCAACTTTTTACCACCTGTGAAGACACAACTCTGATCATCTAGACTAGTCTGGAATTTGGGTTTAAATAGTGTATATGACCCCATGAAAGTTTCAGAGTTATTTCACAGAATTGGAAAACGCTGTGCCAACTTTATATATGCACATAGCATGTACACAGAGTAACCTGAAAATATCCCTTAAAGTCAGCAGAAAGCTTCTTAAACATTTTCAGCTGCTACTCCTTTTAAGTCAAGAAAATCTAAAGGACTTTAAGCCTGGGATTCATGGCATCTAAATGTCAAGGAAGGGAAAGGAGAACTACCTTCAGCTCCTGTTTCCACCTACAGTGTAGGGTGACCATTGATCCCAATTTTCCTAAACTGAGGGTTTTTCCAGATGTGAGACTTACAGTGAGACCAGGATGGTCCTTGGAAACATGACTGGATACCCTGACAGTCAGGCCCTTTGGGTTACATGGGACAGACACTCTTGCAGCTGAGAGAGCTAGGTTTACAGCCTCACTAGGAGTTTATCTCCTTTACTGGCCTGGGCACGCCATTCCAACAGCACAGTGCCCAGACATGAGTTAGAGCTACTCTCCCCATCCCTCTGAGCAATGGGGCAAACTGCTCCTCCCGTCCCACCAACCAACCCCACCTTGATCTCTGCAGCCCCTGACATGTGACTTTTGGAATGCAGATATGCTGCTTCTCTCTCTACAGGATTCATTATGATTCTCCAAAGTATACTCCTTCACATGGGAGAGAATGTTTAATGTAAGAATATGCATAGCAAGAAGCTTTCTTTCTTAAACTGTATGTCCCTGGTTATTGGATAATGATATTTACTATGAAGCAGGGGCAACTCAGGCTGATCACAGATAGTATTTTAATGTCTTGGCAAAGTTGTTGGAAGAATGATTATTGCTCAAAAATGTATGCTCCCTGGGTCAATACCTTGTTGCTTCTGAGTACAGAATTGCAGCCATACACTGCAGCCAAAGAGAAAGCTATTGTTACTCTTATCACATGGCTGAATTCAAGTGGCTATACGTTTTCATTACAATAGTATGACCAGTTGCATTCCCAGCTCTTTTAACTGCTAAGTAGGTAGAGATAAACTAAGTCATTTAACTTATTCATCTAACAAAATGATATTTTATGAATCGTTGCTCTGTTGATGCACTTGGCAACCCCTGGATTGCGGGGGAACGTGAGACAAGTGGTACAAAGTGCCCTTACCTGTAAGAACTCCCACAGTGAGGTAGAGATGCTTCAGACTGGTGGCAAATGAGCCCAGGATGAGACCAGTAGATGCAAGCAAGCCACCCAGCATGATTCCCACTTGACAGGATAAATGGTTACTGACAACACTCCCAAGCGGAGCTTCAAAAACAATAATAAATAGATTCAACAGAAAGGCCTTGAGGGCACTGTGAAAAGGCTGTGGCGTTGCATCGGCAAAGCAGAGAATAATTAACCTTTATAGCACTGACCCACCCCAATCATTCTACAGATTTGGAAACTGAGGAGAAAGGAAATGACTTGTCCATGGCCATACAGAGAAGAACTAGTAAAACTGGAATTAGGATCAAGTCTCCTGACTTGCATTTCAGGGCATATCCCACTTCTCCATCTGTCACAGACATAATCCCAGGACTCCAGCGTCTTTTTTTAAATGGTGAAACAGCTTGCACAGAGATGTGCCCTGTATGTTTCATGTAGTACTTACTGATCGTACACTATTAGCCCTAATTACGAGAGTTAATTGGTGGAGAAAGAAAGTGGGCAACACTATGTGGCCAGCAGTGTTGTATATACAAGACAAGACCAGGGAGAGAGATCATAGACAAATTCCACACTCGGGCACTGTTTTCAGGCTTTAGGAAACCTTATGGATGAGAAATCAAAACCCAGAAAATCTAGGAAATTGGTTTCCATCCGTGGTGATGGTTTGGTTGGTCTAACTCTGTTTTGTGATTTAATAATGTGTCAGCAATGTGCCATCTTCCTGGCTTATAGAATCTTAATTAAAGTTGGAAGAGACCAAGGATAAATTGAAGTTCAGGGGACTACGACATGCCCAATATTACCAAAAAGCACACAGCTTGGGGCACCTGACGGTGGGGGAAGTGTTGTTTCACCCCGTTGCTCTGACTCCCTGGATCTCTCAGGCTGATGGCAGGGGTGATGGGTGGGGAAAGCACATGAATTTCTTTCTAGAAACAATTCATGGTGATACCAGTGCTTCTAGAAACAAGATCAGAAGAGCCAGTTTTGCTGGTTATGTGTGGAGTATAATTTTTGTATGGATCAGGTTGAAAGTGACATCTGATTTAAATGTACATGATAAAATCAGTCATTAGCCTGATGTCTCCAGTCTAGTTAAAACAGTGGTTGGCTGATTCTCCAGGCTGCTGCCACCATGGTTATTGAAAGTGACAAAACCTACAACAAACTCAGGGAAAAATGTTCACATCTCTGTTCATCGTAGGGCAGAGATGTCCCCAGTGGGTGTCATAGATGTGATTCTGTCCATACTCTGAACTCAACTCATGCTGATAGGTGAGCAAGTGGGTACAACAGGCCTCATGTCCTTGCGTGGAATTTAAATATGTTGCATCTGATATGATCCTGCTTTATCACATGGTCACTATGACCATATTGGTCACCGAAGGCCATTTATTCCTCTCTTGGGAATTATAAATATTCCCCAAAAGATAACAAGTGAGGGAAATGAGTCACTTCTGTCCTCTGAAAAGGCAAGCCTGGCTGTCTCGGCATGTGCATACAAAGGCTGTGACTAATGATGTGACCCTGAAAACCAAGTGACTATCTTATTGGTTAAAAAAAAAAGACAGGCTAGAAAACCCAAAGATACCATTTTTTAGATTCCTTAAGACCTTCCAGTGTTACCAGTAGAAACTCAACTTAGCTTCTTATGAAACTGCTTTCAGTTCTAGAATTGCTCCCCAATTCCTTCCAACCAAGGAAACACATTTCAGCACAATTTAACTGATTTCTGAGTATGTACTTCTTTTTTCTCTAAAAATAAGTATGAAACAGTACCTAGAATAGCATCAGTTGATGCTATTTATGAGTTACTAAATAATATAGTAAATATTTCCCTTTTACCACAAAGACATGGCCTGAAAAATTAATAGTTTTCTAAAATATTTGGGATTCATCTAAATAAGAGGACTAAATGGGCTAGCCTACAAATAGATCATTTCAATTTGACCCAATCTCAGAAACTCTCTAAAACATTAATTTTAGAACTTTGGTTTGAAATTTACAAAAAGAAAAATCTAAAGGTTAGTTTTCCTCTACTGCACAGATGGAATAAGAGAGTCCATGGATTCTGAGAACACTTGATACACCTATATAGCACCGTTGGGGTTTCTTGAACGAAATTACAGCCAAGGTGAATGTGTTTGTCTCATGATTACACCGTTCTGTCCTTCCCCAAGGCCTCTCTAAGAATGAAGATGTATGCATGAAAAAGGATGAATTCCATGACTGGACCATGAGGTAACCAGAGCACTTAGAGGGGAGAAGCCAAATGTATGCTGCACGGTTAACTGCTTCCAAAATCAGGACAAGTCCCGTGATGCCCAGCACCCTATCTCTATATGGAAGAGACAAATAGCATATGTCCTTTTGAGAGTATTAACTATCTGTTCCATCTGGCATCAGCCAAGACTATTAATTCCAAGAGCATGTTGTCTGGTTGGCTTTAGCTAAAGGTAGGTTCAATCTTCTCTCTTTATATAGTCTCAGGCAATTTTTAGCAGCACCCTTCTACTTAGAAAAAAAGTGGTGATCAAAGGCAGTGGAAGGCATTATCACATACAGTTCAGGAGTAGCCAGGGCTTGTCCACCCTTGATAAGTGATACTCACCACACAGCATGGTCACACAGTCTACGATGGAATGGATCCATGCTGTTTGTGCATAATCCTGAGTAAAGGATGTCTGGAACTCCACAAAAAAAATGGAAATACATCTGAAAAATACAATGCAAGCATTTTATACAAAAAAATGAGTCAACATAGATCTGAACCACAGATTCAAGTTTTGGTTCATTAGCTGTTCCAGTCTCCATAGGTTTTAACTGGTTTTCAGTGGTATGTTGCTAGACCCTAAGTGGGAAATCAGAAGCTGACTATGGGGACATTCTAAACAATAAGAGCAAATGTTTATCCACTAGAGGGGCTGCTGAAGCCAAGAGGATGCAAAGATCACTGCTGTAGAAAAGGTCTTATAGAATATGAGCAGGTCAAAAACATGGATTTTTGTTCATCTTACTCTTTCACTAACAGCTGTAACTTCTAAGAGGTTGTTATACATAACCTAGCAATTTCACTTCCACATTTAACCAAAGGTAATGATGAGATGATAATAAAAATAATAATAGATACATATAAAAGAATATATTCTTGAGAGCCACTTAACAATAGCCAAGTATTGTAACCAACATATTTGTCCATCAATAAGACACTAGCTAAATAAATTTTGGCATATCAATAAAATGAAATCGTTTTAGACATTGAAAATGACAATTTGATTTGTATTGACTTGAGAATAAATTCACATTATAATGTCAAGTAAAAAAGTAAGTTACAAAGTAATTCATGTAGTAAGGCTTATTTTATAGTTCATGTAAATAAAAAAAGCCTAAAAGCATATAAGCCAAAAGTAACCAGTTATTATAGGTGAATGATAAGATTATATATGTTTATATATCTTTTTTTGCATTTTGAATTACTTTACAATGAACATTATTGCTTATATAATCATAAATATATATGTGCTAAGTACACCACACCGAGCGCTGACGACAAAGAAGTGGTCCCCACTATTTCAGCAGTCACTACCGGGATCAAAGTCACGTAGGCACCATCGAAGTAGCCAAAGGTACAGGAGAAAGGCACGAGCAGGGGAAGACTTTGAAGTATGGGGAGGCAGAGATAGCAGAGCCCATCTAGTCCCACAGCAAAGAGGTAGCAAATATACTGGTAATTCTTCAGACACCTATGGATTTGAAGACCAAGAATGAGTGCAGTATGCAGAGTCTCAAAGAGCTTTAGAACCATGGCCATACAGCCATAAACATGGCAGCTATTTAGGGCAGGCTTCCCCACTGTGTTTTATTTCTGTTGTCTGACTATCTCTCTTTTGATATATGTAAATGCAATAATTTATCCTCCCAGGAAGCATCGTGTGGTAGAAAACAATATATGCTCTAAAATTTAGAAAGTCAGACATTTGAATCAAGTTCTATCACCTACCAACTGTCTAACTTTAGGTTACCTATCTCGTAGGGTTACTTTAAGGATAGTTAAAAATGACATGTAGGAAACTAATATTTTCTAGCAGCCTACCATATTAGATGCTTTCAGATATGTCATCATAGATGCTCAGTAACACAAGTGGTAATCCACAGGGGAAGCTGGAATATGAAGACATTAAAATAATAATTTGCTAGAGATTACAGACAGCTTGTACTAGGACTGTCTTATTTCAAGGCCTCCCCAATGGTACTTCTATTACATTTTCCCCCTGTAGATCTAAACCAATCTATGATACAATTATTTCAAATATTCTGTATATTATCATCATTAGCAGTTTATGCTTTGCAAACATTTTCCCACCCACAGGCTCATCTGAGCATCAAAAATGCTAAGCGGTCAACAGGCAAATAGTGCCCTGGCCTGTTTTACAGATGAAAACCTTTGAGGAGCTGAAGGTTAGGTGATTTCCCTAGGCCACAGGGATAATAAGGGGCAGAGCCAGCATAAGAACTTAAGGTCTTGTATATCTCATACTAGAGATCTTTCTATCAGACCTATAGAGGGCTGCTTCTTGTTGAGTTATTTGATAGTAAAAATAAGATACCTCTTGTCTCTCCCCACCCCCGCAACTTCCTTAACCATTAAAAATGTGGAATTAATCTTTAATACTGTATGCATAATGCTGCAGAATGGCAGCTGGACCTTGATTAATTACCAAAGATATACTGTGAAGCGACATGATGATAGATCTCCCAGGTCATAGCTCAAGTGTGAACAGTCCATCACTTAAGAGAATATGAGTAGCTTGCTCTCTCCAATCTAAACAGATAAGCATTAACTGAAAAAACTACTCAGTAGATTTCTTTTAGCTTTGACTTCTAAGCCTAAAAATCTTATAAAGGTATTTGCTCTTTGCACTGTCAAACATAACTATGGGGCTACAGATAATGTGTTCTTACTGCACCTGATCCTCCTGTCGAGATTGGATTCTGCTTCTTTCTCCATTGTCAGCCAGTCTCTGGGGTGACTGAGAAGAAATCAGCCAGCCAGAAGTTGTTTTACCTGAGGACTGACTTGCCTTGGGTTGGAATTTTATCTGTCCCCAAAGCTTGTAGTTACTCTAGGCTCCTGCAGTTTAGACAAACCCACCATCTTAAACCATCTAGAACAGGGGTGTCCAAGTTATAGACAAATCCAGTCAATCACCTATTTTTGTACTATCTGTGAATTAAGAATGGTTAGAAAAAAAACAACAAAAGAGCAATAACATTTTGTAACATGTAAAATTTCAGGGTCCCCAAATAAAGTCTTATTGGAACACAGCTACTCTTGTTTGTATACATATGGTCTGCGGCTGTTTTGTGTTGCAACAGCAGAACTGGGTAGTTGCAATCATGTGACCCACAGAGTGAAAAATGTTTACATCTATCCCTTTATGGAAAAAGTGTGCCAATCTCTGACTAGAAGAACCAGCAAGATAATTGCTTTCAGATACTGAAATTTTGTTGACATTATTCAGACGTAGGTAATTTACAGAGTTAAGAGGTAGAGAAGAAACTTAAAGCTTAAATCCCCTGGTAGGGAACCAATTGTGGTTTCACAGATTTTACCTTCTGTCGGTTAGCCATCCAAATGTGATATTTCCAATAATGTCGATCACCCCAAGTACGGACATAAGAAAAGCAGCCTGCTGGTGACTCACTCCGACGCTCAAAGCATAAGGCACCAAATACACAAAGAGAGGGCTGCAGCCATAAGCCATAAACAGAACAGAAATGGCTAACACAACAAAGTCTGACATCAGTAAAAAACTGTATTCTTGCTGCAAAGAGCAACAAAGGCAGGTCTGCACCCACTCTTTGGTCAAAGTTGAGCAGGGAGATGCCCGCTTAAAGTCTCGTTTCTGAGCTCTACCGACGTGGTTCTGCTCTGGAGTTGTATGGTCCTCTTTAAGAGTAATTGGCCGCATCAAGGCACCGCAAACACAGAGATTCAAAACGAAGCCCCCAAGAATGAGTAACGCTCCCTGCCAGGAAAACTGTTCAATAAGGAGCTGAACCACAGGAGCCAGGATGAAGGTGCCAATGCCACTTCCCGACATGGCGATCCCGTAAGCAAGGGCTTTCCGTCTGCTGAAATACTTGCCGACCATGGCGATAGCTGGAGAGTAACACAGCGCGAATCCAAGACCTGGGCACAGAGAGCTCTGTGAATGCTGGGACACCATGGACAGCCAATGAAAGATAGCAGCTCAGAATACAATTGATTTGGATTAAAGGCAATCTGACCTTCTGTTAATCCCCTCAAAACTGTTTTCTACACCAAGGTGAAAATGAGCCTCCCCTTTCCAGCCATCCACAATTTGATAAGTACAGCATATATGACTTTTTTCTTGGGAGGAAAAACCTTATGGAGATATTACTTCTTAAAATGAAATGAAGACCTTAAAACCTATTACACAGATTAAATTGAAATTAACTAGAAGATCAAGATATTGCTGACCTAAGAATTCATTCTCTCCACCAACACCTCTTTTTATCTTAATTTATCCAGAGAATTACCTCAACTTTTTACCACCTGTGAAGACACAACTCTGATCATCTAGACTAGTCTGGAATTTGGGTTTAAATAGTGTATATGACCCCATGAAAGTTTCAGAGTTATTTCACAGAATTGGAAAACGCTGTGCCAACTTTATATATGCACATAGCATGTACACAGAGTAACCTGAAAATATCCCTTAAAGTCAGCAGAAAGCTTCTTAAACATTTTCAGCTGCTACTCCTTTTAAGTCAAGAAAATCTAAAGGACTTTAAGCCTGGGATTCATGGCATCTAAATGTCAAGGAAGGGAAAGGAGAACTACCTTCAGCTCCTGTTTCCACCTACAGTGTAGGGTGACCATTGATCCCAATTTTCCTAAACTGAGGGTTTTTCCAGATGTGAGACTTACAGTGAGACCAGGATGGTCCTTGGAAACATGACTGGATACCCTGACAGTCAGGCCCTTTGGGTTACATGGGACAGACACTCTTGCAGCTGAGAGAGCTAGGTTTACAGCCTCACTAGGAGTTTATCTCCTTTACTGGCCTGGGCACGCCATTCCAACAGCACAGTGCCCAGACATGAGTTAGAGCTACTCTCCCCATCCCTCTGAGCAATGGGGCAAACTGCTCCTCCCGTCCCACCAACCAACCCCACCTTGATCTCTGCAGCCCCTGACATGTGACTTTTGGAATGCAGATATGCTGCTTCTCTCTCTACAGGATTCATTATGATTCTCCAAAGTATACTCCTTCACATGGGAGAGAATGTTTAATGTAAGAATATGCATAGCAAGAAGCTTTCTTTCTTAAACTGTATGTCCCTGGTTATTGGATAATGATATTTACTATGAAGCAGGGGCAACTCAGGCTGATCACAGATAGTATTTTAATGTCTTGGCAAAGTTGTTGGAAGAATGATTATTGCTCAAAAATGTATGCTCCCTGGGTCAATACCTTGTTGCTTCTGAGTACAGAATTGCAGCCATACACTGCAGCCAAAGAGAAAGCTATTGTTACTCTTATCACATGGCTGAATTCAAGTGGCTATACGTTTTCATTACAATAGTATGACCAGTTGCATTCCCAGCTCTTTTAACTGCTAAGTAGGTAGAGATAAACTAAGTCATTTAACTTATTCATCTAACAAAATGATATTTTATGAATCGTTGCTCTGTTGATGCACTTGGCAACCCCTGGATTGCGGGGGAACGTGAGACAAGTGGTACAAAGTGCCCTTACCTGTAAGAACTCCCACAGTGAGGTAGAGATGCTTCAGACTGGTGGCAAATGAGCCCAGGATGAGACCAGTAGATGCAAGCAAGCCACCCAGCATGATTCCCACTTGACAGGATAAATGGTTACTGACAACACTCCCAAGCGGAGCTTCAAAAACAATAATAAATAGATTCAACAGAAAGGCCTTGAGGGCACTGTGAAAAGGCTGTGGCGTTGCATCGGCAAAGCAGAGAATAATTAACCTTTATAGCACTGACCCACCCCAATCATTCTACAGATTTGGAAACTGAGGAGAAAGGAAATGACTTGTCCATGGCCATACAGAGAAGAACTAGTAAAACTGGAATTAGGATCAAGTCTCCTGACTTGCATTTCAGGGCATATCCCACTTCTCCATCTGTCACAGACATAATCCCAGGACTCCAGCGTCTTTTTTTAAATGGTGAAACAGCTTGCACAGAGATGTGCCCTGTATGTTTCATGTAGTACTTACTGATCGTACACTATTAGCCCTAATTACGAGAGTTAATTGGTGGAGAAAGAAAGTGGGCAACACTATGTGGCCAGCAGTGTTGTATATACAAGACAAGACCAGGGAGAGAGATCATAGACAAATTCCACACTCGGGCACTGTTTTCAGGCTTTAGGAAACCTTATGGATGAGAAATCAAAACCCAGAAAATCTAGGAAATTGGTTTCCATCCGTGGTGATGGTTTGGTTGGTCTAACTCTGTTTTGTGATTTAATAATGTGTCAGCAATGTGCCATCTTCCTGGCTTATAGAATCTTAATTAAAGTTGGAAGAGACCAAGGATAAATTGAAGTTCAGGGGACTACGACATGCCCAATATTACCAAAAAGCACACAGCTTGGGGCACCTGACGGTGGGGGAAGTGTTGTTTCACCCCGTTGCTCTGACTCCCTGGATCTCTCAGGCTGATGGCAGGGGTGATGGGTGGGGAAAGCACATGAATTTCTTTCTAGAAACAATTCATGGTGATACCAGTGCTTCTAGAAACAAGATCAGAAGAGCCAGTTTTGCTGGTTATGTGTGGAGTATAATTTTTGTATGGATCAGGTTGAAAGTGACATCTGATTTAAATGTACATGATAAAATCAGTCATTAGCCTGATGTCTCCAGTCTAGTTAAAACAGTGGTTGGCTGATTCTCCAGGCTGCTGCCACCATGGTTATTGAAAGTGACAAAACCTACAACAAACTCAGGGAAAAATGTTCACATCTCTGTTCATCGTAGGGCAGAGATGTCCCCAGTGGGTGTCATAGATGTGATTCTGTCCATACTCTGAACTCAACTCATGCTGATAGGTGAGCAAGTGGGTACAACAGGCCTCATGTCCTTGCGTGGAATTTAAATATGTTGCATCTGATATGATCCTGCTTTATCACATGGTCACTATGACCATATTGGTCACCGAAGGCCATTTATTCCTCTCTTGGGAATTATAAATATTCCCCAAAAGATAACAAGTGAGGGAAATGAGTCACTTCTGTCCTCTGAAAAGGCAAGCCTGGCTGTCTCGGCATGTGCATACAAAGGCTGTGACTAATGATGTGACCCTGAAAACCAAGTGACTATCTTATTGGTTAAAAAAAAAAGACAGGCTAGAAAACCCAAAGATACCATTTTTTAGATTCCTTAAGACCTTCCAGTGTTACCAGTAGAAACTCAACTTAGCTTCTTATGAAACTGCTTTCAGTTCTAGAATTGCTCCCCAATTCCTTCCAACCAAGGAAACACATTTCAGCACAATTTAACTGATTTCTGAGTATGTACTTCTTTTTTCTCTAAAAATAAGTATGAAACAGTACCTAGAATAGCATCAGTTGATGCTATTTATGAGTTACTAAATAATATAGTAAATATTTCCCTTTTACCACAAAGACATGGCCTGAAAAATTAATAGTTTTCTAAAATATTTGGGATTCATCTAAATAAGAGGACTAAATGGGCTAGCCTACAAATAGATCATTTCAATTTGACCCAATCTCAGAAACTCTCTAAAACATTAATTTTAGAACTTTGGTTTGAAATTTACAAAAAGAAAAATCTAAAGGTTAGTTTTCCTCTACTGCACAGATGGAATAAGAGAGTCCATGGATTCTGAGAACACTTGATACACCTATATAGCACCGTTGGGGTTTCTTGAACGAAATTACAGCCAAGGTGAATGTGTTTGTCTCATGATTACACCGTTCTGTCCTTCCCCAAGGCCTCTCTAAGAATGAAGATGTATGCATGAAAAAGGATGAATTCCATGACTGGACCATGAGGTAACCAGAGCACTTAGAGGGGAGAAGCCAAATGTATGCTGCACGGTTAACTGCTTCCAAAATCAGGACAAGTCCCGTGATGCCCAGCACCCTATCTCTATATGGAAGAGACAAATAGCATATGTCCTTTTGAGAGTATTAACTATCTGTTCCATCTGGCATCAGCCAAGACTATTAATTCCAAGAGCATGTTGTCTGGTTGGCTTTAGCTAAAGGTAGGTTCAATCTTCTCTCTTTATATAGTCTCAGGCAATTTTTAGCAGCACCCTTCTACTTAGAAAAAAAGTGGTGATCAAAGGCAGTGGAAGGCATTATCACATACAGTTCAGGAGTAGCCAGGGCTTGTCCACCCTTGATAAGTGATACTCACCACACAGCATGGTCACACAGTCTACGATGGAATGGATCCATGCTGTTTGTGCATAATCCTGAGTAAAGGATGTCTGGAACTCCACAAAAAAAATGGAAATACATCTGAAAAATACAATGCAAGCATTTTATACAAAAAAATGAGTCAACATAGATCTGAACCACAGATTCAAGTTTTGGTTCATTAGCTGTTCCAGTCTCCATAGGTTTTAACTGGTTTTCAGTGGTATGTTGCTAGACCCTAAGTGGGAAATCAGAAGCTGACTATGGGGACATTCTAAACAATAAGAGCAAATGTTTATCCACTAGAGGGGCTGCTGAAGCCAAGAGGATGCAAAGATCACTGCTGTAGAAAAGGTCTTATAGAATATGAGCAGGTCAAAAACATGGATTTTTGTTCATCTTACTCTTTCACTAACAGCTGTAACTTCTCAGAGGTTGTTATACATAACCTAGCAATTTCACTTCCACATTTAACCAAAGGTAATGATGAGATGATAATAAAAATAATAATAGATACATATAAAAGAATATATTCTTGAGAGCCACTTAACAATAGCCAAGTATTGTAACCAACATATTTGTCCATCAATAAGACACTAGCTAAATAAATTTTGGCATATCAATAAAATGAAATCGTTTTAGACATTGAAAATGACAATTTGATTTGTATTGACTTGAGAATAAATTCACATTATAATGTCAAGTAAAAAAGTAAGTTACAAAGTAATTCATGTAGTAAGGCTTATTTTATAGTTCATGTAAATAAAAAAAGCCTAAAAGCATATAAGCCAAAAGTAACCAGTTATTATAGGTGAATGATAAGATTATATATGTTTATATATCTTTTTTTGCATTTTGAATTACTTTACAATGAACATTATTGCTTATATAATCATAAATATATATGTGCATGTCTGCTTGTGTATTTGTGTACCTATATGTTATATGTATATTTATATTTATATATATATAAATACATGGAGGGAGAGGAGAGAAAGTAAGAGAGAGGCATACAGAGACAGAGTAATTTTTATGTTGAAAAATAGTTAATTATGTAGGAAAAAAGACATGTGATCCAGAAGCAATAGTTTGATTCACTGTACAACCTGCAGTAAACCTCATCCAGATTAGCAAGGTTGGTATATCAGGGTAAGAAGCTTTTAGAACACATTGATAATAGTAATTATAATAATAACAACAACTACGCAAATAATGTCAGGCCTTGTGGTTTGGAGATAAGATAGGAGGTTATCCGTCTCCTTGGCTTGGGGCTACCTTCCAAGTCATTACACTTCAGCAGGCCATAGTGCCCAGTTATTTCACTCTCCCTCTCTTCTCCAGGTGCTGTGTGGGTGTGAAGGAGGATGAGAAGGAGAAAAAGAATGAAGAGAATCAGGTATAATCAGGACAGCTTTATTAGGCAGGTCTGGCTTTATGGGTGTGCAACCTCTATACACACACAGAACCTGGCCCTTGGGAGCATAAAACTTGGTTTAAAAGCTGTCACCAAGTTGAAATTCTTAATATTCCTAATCTTAAAATTAAATTTCTTAAAATCCCTAATAGTCTTATTTTTTTTAAATTTGTGTTTTGTAAGTGAAGTCCAATGGGACAATGGCGTATGCATGTGAACCAAGAAGATACACGCACGATGTGAGTCTTTGACTCTTTGCCTTTCTGTTCCTTTGTAGCACTGCGATGTACCACAAGCACAGAATTCTGGTAGACCTGTGATGTGTGGGAGTTCAGTAAGACTTGGCCTGAGTAAAGGAATGTGTATTACATCTACAAATGGGAAAGCAAGGGAGGAGGGGGGATGAAGGATCTCACTCCTGCAGGAGGCCCTCCTTTCCTTTCAACCCAAACGGGCTTCCAGTGCAGAATGAAAGCAATGGTGTTCTAAGAAACACAAAGGACCAAGCATTCCTATCATATCTTTTCTCATTCATGGTACTTCTCTGCATTAGCTGATCACTTATTCAAAAATGGTGACATAGAGGGAAAGGGAAATACAGAGCTACTGTAGTTCCCTTCGTCACTCATCAATAAGCAGAAGATAATGTTGATAGAATGTGCGTGTATCAAGAAGTGAAAGAAAAACAGTTGAGTTCCATTGTGCAGGGTTTCCACTGTCCTGGTAAAAATGAAGTAACTTGTGTATGGACAAGCTGCAAAATACAAATCATGTAGCTTCAGTGAGTCCACATTCAAGTTAAATATTCACATCTGCATTTAAAACTGGCATTAGGGGACATAAAGATGAATGGTAAATTCGTGCTAGTAATTGAACATTTCTATTTTTCTTTTCTAAGAACAACCTTAATTAGTACATTAAAAACACCATGAAAAATCGAGATACTGAAGAAAGGAAAAAACTTCCTATTTACTATTTTACCAGCATTTTTTGCTTGCCTTGTGAACGCGGGGCCTGCATTTTCCTTTTGCTCTCAGCCCCACAATTACATTGCCAGATCTGCCAAGAGGAAAGAGAAAGGGGATGGTACAGGGCACCAAATTCTAAGTCCCAACAGCTGCTGGGACAGAGTTTGACACATAGAGCGTAGAGTAGGGATCAACATTTGTGGAAGGAAGGGGACAGAAGCAGGATCAGGCGGGGGGAGAGGTGGAAGTGGGATGCAGGCCTGACAAATCCTCAGCAAATCCCAAATGGAATGGTTGGGCCTTTATGCACCGCCTCAGTCACTGGATGTGGGCACCCCTGGGAGGCTGTGTTCTTGGGAGAGGAGGCTCTCTGCAGGTGAGGCAGACCCTGAGGACACTGCTTGTCTCTTGTGACTTTTCTTGTTACCTTGTTTTATTTTCTGTTTGATGGTTTTCTTAACTGAACTGACTAAGCATATCAGTCAAACTTCAGTTATATAAAATTCAAAACTAAAACCTGAGAGTCTTATCAAAACATGTGAGTAGGCCTGCCAGAGGTAAACTTTAATAACCACATACGTGTTTCTGCATGACTGGGCCTGCTGTGAAATATGGGAAGAATAATGTACTGCTTATTTGTTCTCAAATGGGAAAAGTACCATGGAACTTTCCAAAGTGATGTTTCTTGATTTTTGTCTTCTGAAACAGGCATGACCTTGAAGAAAACATAGTGGTATTGGGTGCACATGGGCTTCTCACTCTAGAAATTATCTTTGTTATCCTGTGGAGTATCTGTGTATCTGGTAGATACTAGGAGAGCTGGGTTCTGATCTCTGATTCACACTCTGAGTAGCTGACAGTTTTGATAAAGCTTCCTAATCTCTCAGGATCTCAGCTTCATCTATAAAGTAAGCATTTTGGTAGACATGACTGTCCAGCATGGATTAGATCATGCTGCTGTAGCAAACAACCGAGACCCTCCTGGGTTCCGTAGGCTCTGTTCCTGAGGATGTGGAAACACCTGAGTGTCAGTTGTTGTGAAATGGACTTTCTCTCAAGGGGCTAACTTGCTTGCTGTCCCCGTCTTGCCCCTACTACAAAATTCTTCTCTGTCCCTGGCAGAGCTGGAAGCTGACAACATCTGGTATTTTGCAGGCTATTTTCAGTTTATGAGTTTATCCAGTAAGTCAGTGCAGGAAGTGATCCACTGGGCAGTGTAGCCTAATAGTTAGAAGCACTGCCATTTATATACTCTGTGTCTTTGGACACATTATCCAGCCTCTGTGTGTTGTTATAAGGATTAAATGACTTAATCAAGGAAAAGTGCTTGGAACAATGCCAACAAGCACAGAGTAAGTGCTCAGCTAACACTAACAATTGTCTACAGGAATCCAGCTGTTCTTAGAAGAGCCCCCCAATTTCATAAGATTCTACATATACTTCTATTGCAACTAAGTTAATTTGGACCCAGAAACCTTAGAGAAAAATAGGTGTCATAGCTAAAACCTCACAGGGGGTTTTCTTTGAACATTTAAATCAAATGTTGCTTTTCGAGTATCAACTCCAACTCAAGTTGTTAATTTATGAATAGCATGTCAGGCAATTTTGCAATAATATAATATATTATATTATTAGCATAATATAAATAATGTGTTTGGTAATAAGTTGTGTTGAAGAAAAAATAAGTAATGTACATTGTACATTAAACACAGAGGGAGTAAAATAAATAAGAATGACTCTTTTAAGAGGCCAGACAACTTTAAGTTTATGTAAATGTTATGGGTAAAGCAGCAGCATCAGTTACAAGGCAAGAGCTGAAATATGATTTTAAAATGCTTTGGGTCATAACGGTAGTGTTGTTTGTAAAGCAAAAAACAGGAAACAATCATTTTAAATGTCCATCAATACGAAGTGTTAAATAACTGTGTGTTTGTCTCTTGTGACTTTTGTTACGCACACATCCATATGGTAGAATTGTAAGCAGTTATTCTTCAGTGAGGTAGAGCCAAACGTGCTGATAGGGCATATTTCCAAGAGACATTATTAAGCAAAAAATATATATATATTCAAAATAGTATGTACAGTATGATCCTATTGGCATAAATGAAAAGAATATCATTTATATATGCACATAAAATTTCTTAAAAATTATTTTGGACAGACCTCAAGAAACTTGAACAAAATTAACTTCAGACAATGAAACAGGAATTCAGGAGAAAGACTATTTTATATATCTCCATGTTGTTTGAATTTTTGCCATCTGGATGTATGGTTTAACTTTTAAGTATATTTGTCAAATTAAAAAGAAAAGAGTTAATTTCCAATAGGCATTGATCCTCTGAATTGACAGATCGCCCTGGAGGCTGCTTTCCTGGGCCCCTCCTCAAGTTCCCCTGGCTCAGGACAGTTAGATGACGGCTGCCTCATCACACATTTCTCCTCCACACGTTCTGCTCACATAACCTCCTCTTGGCCTCTCCCAGTTGCCTCAGATAACAGACTTTGATACCAGACACAACCCTATTCTGGTTTCTGACTAAGCCCTTGGCAGTTCAGGAATAGAAGCTGCCCACTGTCTCCATAAAGTGAGCAGCAGATGAAGGGCATGCAGCTTGGATTTCTTTCACTTTCATTTCTTCCTGGCCAAATACTTCCCATTACTCAAGACCTCACTCCAGGGACAACTTCTCTAGAAAGCCTTCCCTGAACTCCTAGGTCAGAATTAACCCCTCTCTCATCAGTGTTATTTTACCTAATGTATATGTAGCACATTTTAATTAGTATTTCAGTTATTTATGCCTGGGGCTATCAGGTAGTGTCCCAACATCTCTGTGTTTTGGAAACACCTAGCACAGAACCTTGTCTTCAAGGAATGCATGGTGTATATTACTGGAATTGATTTCCATTGAACTGAAGATGAAAACTTCAGGGTACAACCTTAAAGAAAATATGCAAGACCTTCAGACCTTCAAGATAGTCATGGGGTCTGCTGGAAATTCCCCTGTGACTGAGAAAAATGGAGATTCAGTATGTCCCGCTAAACAATGCAAGCCACCTAAGATGCTAATAAGCATTAGAGGCCATCAATAAATTAGTGTCCCTGATGTAAGTCTTCAATTTTCTACAGACACTTATCCCAAGTTACTTTCAGGGTTCCAGAGGACAATACTCAGTGAAGCCATGTGAACCATCTCTCCGAGCCTTAATGTGCAGTTGACTGTACGTGAATTGGGGGTAACATCACTCATGGCTAGTCACTGACAGGACAGGGAGGGTAGGGGGCCTCGGTAAGAAGAATTTATAAATAACTGTCCCCTTGGCACCCTGTCTTCTCATCACTGACATGACAGCTCTATTACCTTAAGACAATGTTTCTTATAACTAAGGCAAATTTTTAAAGACCTAAGTCTTGTAAATACTACATTGTTCTAAAGGACAGCTTCAGAGTGCTGTGGGGAACAAGGAACTGGCCACAGATGCTTCGGAACTTCCTCTAATCCCCTAATCTTACAGCAGAACAGAAGATAAATGAAACAGCACTGATGGAAGATATGTGTGTGACTGTGTACAAATGTATATATGTGTATGGAGGAGCAGTCAGAAGTGTGGTGTATGTATGAGAAACTGCAGGATAGGAGGATACTTGGTTTGTGTTGGAAAGAGCAATTGTGGTTTCTCTCTCTCTCTCTCTTTGTGTGTGTGTGTGTCCAGAGTCAATGCATACACAATGGCAAATGAACAAGATGAGAAATAAAACAGACGAGGATTCCGGTCCAGCTCTGTTTGACTAGATCAAAAATGTAGGCAAGTCACTTACCCTTTCTGAGCATCAATGTCATGATCTGTTACATGGGACTAAATAAACCTATTCTGCCTACACTTCACCGTGAAGACTCCACTACCCAGAAGTCACCAGTACGAGCCCTCCTTATGTAGCACTGAGCTCACCTCCAGAACTTCTCCATCCTGGAGACGGAAGCTTCCCCATGCAAGAGCCAAGATGACAGAGATGAGTTTAAGCCCTATGACTTCCTTACACTCAGAACACAAGAACCATAATATAGACAGGAGAAAGATCAGACTCAACACCAATCATATTATTTTAAACAAATCTACAGTTTATTATGACACATAATCAACCAAACCTTACTGTAGCAAAAACACACATCCTGCTTCTTCTCCTCTTATACACTTGTTTAGGGGCGGGGGCTTTAATGTGTTCATTGATGATGCCGTCAAATACAACTTTTTAGTACAAATTACTTTCTTTTGCTATCAAGGGTGAGTTCCCAGAGAAGAGCAACACACAAAGCGTTCTATTTGAGTGAAAGCACCCATACAGAAAAGAGCTAGCACATGAAGATTCCGAGTATGTACTTATTCCAAATATAAATGATATAAATGCATCTCAGTGTTTAACTTAAACATATTCAATAGTACAGCCTCGCACAAAAGAAAAAGAGAAGGAGAAGGGAGAATGAGAGAATCTCTGTATTTATGTTGTTGCTTTCCTTCAACCTAGAACTCAGCTTCCACCACCATGGTCAAATGCAAAATGAAGCAAAAGAATTTAAATTCTGGGTTTTATGCTTCCAATGGCACATTAACTGGAGAGCCAAGAGGTTTTCAAGGATTATTTTGACCTTATATGTTTTTTCTTTCTGAGTTGAGCTTCTTATGAAGCAAATGTCTAGAATAGCCACATTTAATGTAAAAAATGTGTTAACTCTCCAGGTTTATGTGTCAGACATTAGAGACGAGGCTGCTATCCAGGACTTTTAAGTCTCAGAAAATCATATTCCTTGCAAAGGAAAGATTATCTGAGCAGTCAAAGGAAACACACACACAACACACATACACACATGTATTTTCACACTGACAGGTTCAGAAAGAGAATGAAACAGACTTAGAAAATAAGACAAGCCAGATGACCTTCATAAATCAAGAAGAAAATCTCACCTACCTGGTGACTGCCCGGGTGCAGATGGTAACAAAGAAACAGCCAGCCACAATCATCCAGCCCCAGCCTCCATCCGGAGGGGAGGTAGACCGAGCTCTAGTTACTTTTGCCATGGTTTCAACTCCCCTTTCTTCTTTTCCAGGTTACTCCAACTGTCCAGTTATGATGTTGGAAGAGGTCTTCTGTCCAGTGACTTCCTGCTGGCATTCAAGTTTGGCATAGAATGCTACCTGGTACAGGGGTTACTGGCCATCTAAAACCAAACATCAGAACACATATATATTTTATTGTCATATCCAAAACATTCATTTTTCACTTGATAAAAACGATTACTACTTTCCTATTAGATATGATCATTTGTAACTATGAACACTGGATGGGGGCAAAGACCATTAGTTGTCCTTGGTTCTCCTTTTCCTTTTTAATAACTGAGCCTCCCAAATTTGAGCTAAATCGATGTCCGCCCACTTTGATACCAACTCCCTAGCCTGTCTTGAGGGTAGGTGTGGCAACATGACTTAGTCTAGATGAAAGGAATGCAAGGAAAAGACTGTGCCACTTCTGGTTCATGAGCTCAAAGGCAGGTTCATGAGATTCTCCAGGACTCCCACCACCACCCCTCCCACAGACCTGAACACGGACGTGGAAGTGAGACTGCTTCTGCCACACAGCCCAGGACATCACCATAGGGGCTGGCAGAGCTACAGGACAGAAGGCGCCCAGGTCCCCAGGTGACTGTGGAGAAGGGGTACCTTTCCCATTCTGGACTTCACATACCTCTACTCTGCTACATGAAAGGGAAAACATCTGTCAAAACTCTTATTTAAAGTTTCTTTGAAATTCATCCCCAACTGTAGTTAAGAAACCTGTTGGAGATGGCAAAGAACCTTAAGAAACACTTTATTTCACAGTTTCTATGGGGCCAAAATCCAGACACTGCTTAGTGGGGTCCTTGGCTCAGCTCAGGGTCTCAAAAGCTGCAAAGTGTCAGCCAGGCTGTGTTCTTAACTCAGGCTAGAGAGAATCAGTAATTTTCCCAATTATCATTAACATGTTCAAGCAGCAGAAATGGGATGAACCTTGGTCATATTGCAGGACCACCTTTCCCAACCAGTTCCCTACACTGCTTCCACTATATCCCCTTTTCCCTCTATATAAATTCATTTACATTTTTGTCTAATCAGAGGCATATAATTCTTACTGATGGCACACCAGTAGGATGACATTAACTGCAGCCTGATGCATATGCCACTGACTTGATTCAATTATCTCTGATTGCAAAGCAAAACCAACTTTTGGAAAGAGTCTGAGCTTCAAGATAAGTCCTTCCAAAACATAAGTGTATGTCATGGGTAAGTGCTTTTAATAGTAAATTACTTTCTTTCCTAAAATTAACACTCAAAGAAAAACTTATTTAGAAGATCTACCATACTAGTATTTTTGCCTTAATAGACACAGCCTACTATAGCAGACAGAGATGTCTGCCTCCCCCGAATCCACAGTTCACTTCGACCTCCATTCTATCATCTCCCTGATTGTGTTCAGGTATCTATCTGCTCTCTCTCCAGCAGCTATTTGCTTCAAGGGAGGCTGGCCCAATCAGTTGTTTCAGGGAATGGGTTTTGACTGGTCTCCTTTTCCCATGTCAGTGACTGGGGACAGGATGGCCAATGAGCTATGAGGGGAAGCCCTTTGGGAAAGGTTTCCTTGCTTTCAAAAGACACAAGGAGGAAACAAGTCCCCCTTCTTCCTGAAGAAATTTTGTATCTGAATGTGATAGGGAGTTGTGGCAGCCACCTCCCAACCCTGCAGGAAGCTAGCCGAAGGACCAAGTCAATAAGTCAAGGACAGTAGGGCTGGAAGAAGGAAAGAACTTGCAACCTTAAGGGTGTCACTGAGCAACTGAATCAACAAGTTCTGGAGCCACCCCATCTAACTGGATAGGCAGCACACTACATTTTCCTTATGGTTGGAATTAGTTGAAATTTCTGTTACTTCTGCCTAAAGAATCCACGTGGATCTATGCCCTCAGCCAGTGGGATGCTGAAGCCGATGCCTCCTGCATCTCAGGTTCAGTGAAGTCATACTGGTGGCCTCAAATTGGCCACGGTATCTATACCACAGAAATCACACACCGGCAAACTACAGATCAAACCTTTTTATATCCTCCTAGGGGCTCTGCTGCTAAACATTTACTGCCACACCACTGCAACTGTGGAGTCACTTAATGTGTATACAGTAAATATATCTATGAAATATGAAGTAAAGCCGAAGAACTAAGAAAGAACTTGAACATCTGTACAACTTAGCTACCTTGTTACCTTTCTAATAAGGTAATTTATCTGTTTTATTGGGCAGGGGCCAGCAAACTGTTGCCCTCAAGCAAAATTTGGCCTGCTGCCTCCTTTAGTAAATAAAATTTTCCTGGAACACAACCACACTCTCTTATTTGTATTTTGTCTTTGGTTGCCCTCATCCTACACTGGTAATTGAGTTGGTGTGACAGACAGCATAAGGCTAGCAGAGCCTAAAATATTATTTACTATCTGGACCTTTACAGAGAAAATGTGCAGATCCCTGTTCTAGGGAGATGTAATATACTGATCTGCTGAAAAAATAGACCAATATTTGGGAGGATGGGGTGGGGGATGATGGATATTTATGACTCTGGTGGCAAAGCGGCAGTATAACACAGCAAAAACCGGCAAGCAAAGGAAAATCTGCATCCTGGTTCTGACACTCCCTCTTATGAGTTATATGAACTCAGGCAGCTTAATTTACCTCTCTGAGCCTCAGTTTACTCCTCTATAAAGTGGGAATAGTATTACTCTGACAGAATGTCATAAAAGGAGATAAAACAGGGAGTATCTGGTACAAAAACATAGATATTTGCCATGTGACTTACCCTCTTTTTATTTATTCACCAGGCATTAATTCAATAAATCTTTATTGTTTGTCCAAAATGCACCAGAAACTATTCTAGGAGCAGGGCTTAGAGTAGTGAAGAAAATAGACAAAGAAGCTCTAGCTTCATGAAGTGTACATTCTGTGGGACAGACACTCAATAAACTGTTGAACAGTAACTTCTGAGCGTCAGCTTCCTTGTTTGTACAAAAAAAACTACCCTCTCTGCTTACTTGTCGGGACGGTAGTTAGTGGCTGATCAGAGTGATTACAGACCGGCAGCAATGAGCAAATTGGGGGTCAGGACATTTTTGTTAGGTAGCCCTATAGTGTTTTTACCATGTTTCCATCACACAGGTAAATATGAGATTTACCTAATGCTGTGGACTAAATGTGTCCCTCCCAAATTCATATGTTGAAACCTACAAGGTGATGATATTAGGAGGAGGCTTTTGGGGGGTGATTAGGTCATGAGGACTCTGCCCTTAGGAATGGGATAAGGGCCCTTATAAAGCAGACCCCAGAGAGCTCCTATGTCCCTTCTGCCATGTGAGGGAACAGAAAAAATAAATAAATAAATAAATTGCTATTTAGGAACCAGGAGACGGGCCCTCCCCTGACTTCAAATCTACCAGTATCTTGATCTTGGACATCCCAATCTCTATGAGAAAAAAAGGTTTGTGCCCAAGCCCCCCAGTCTATGGTAGTTTTGTTATAGCAGCCCAAATGGACTAAGACACCTAAAAAACCAGATTTCCAAATTCTCTTGAAAAATCAAAAGTGCTAGAGATGCCAACTAGTACTCCTTTGTGACAGCCATCAATGGGAGTCAAGGGGCACACGTTCCTTTGGACGTTCCTATCCTTCCCCTGCCTCTGACACCTTGTATGGTCCAACCCTGGGCTGCTTCACTCTTCAACACCTGCAGGGCCCCTGGAGGCAATAAGATTTTCAGTTTCTGCCTGTACACATTGCAGTATATCAAAGTTTATTGAACAGCTGCATGTGAGTCATGTTTATGGCAAGCTTCATGTCCAGCCTCTCTCATAATTTAAGCAAGAGTAGCATTTGAGATTCTGCCTACATCTATATGCAAATACTTGCAATGGAATCACTCACTGATTAGACACAATTAGGTGGCAGATGTCATGAAATGATGGAATCAGTTGTCCAAGGAAAAAAGCCAGAGCTTAGAAACCTCTCTGCCTTGGGATAGTCCTTCCTAGGTTTGTTTCCATCAAAATAACCCCCACGGGTTTTTATTTTTATTTATTTTTATTTTTTTATTTTTTATTTTTTATTTATTTATTTTTTTGAGACGGCATCTCTCATATTTATTGATCAAATGGTTGTTAACAACAATAAAATTCAGTATAGGGGGGTCAACGCTCAATGTACAATCATTAATCCATCTCAAGCCTAATTCTCGTCAGTCTCCAATCTTCTGAAGCATAACGAACAAGTTCTTACATGGTGAACGAATTCTTACATAGTGAATAAATTCTTACATGGTGAACAGTACAAGGGCATTCATCACAGAAACTTTTGGTTTTGATCATGCATTATGACCTATAAACAATCAGGTCAAGTATGAATATTCGTTTGATTTTTGTACTTGATTTATATGTTGATCCCACATTTCTCCTATTATTATTATTATTTTTATTTTTAATAAAATGCTGAAGTGGTAGGTAGATGCAAGATAAAGGTAGAAAACATAGTTTAGTGCTGTAAGAGGGAAAATGTAGATGATCAGATGATCAGGTGTGTGCCTATGGACTAAGTATTAATCCAGGCTAGACAAGGGCAGCAAGACATCCACGGATGCAGAAGATTTCTCTCAAAGCAGGGGGGGTGAGGTTCTGAGCCTTACCTCTGTTGATCCCCAAATTCTCACCTGATGGCCCCCCTGCGACTGTGCCTGTCTTAGGTTGTTCCTCCCTTGAGGAATCTTACCCGTCTCTGGCTAACCAGTCATCTTCCGGGGCCATACAGGGAAATGTAAAGTTGGTAAGTGAGAGAGAAGCCATATTGTTTGAAAAGGTTAGCTTTTTACTTCTTTGCAGATTTATGCCCTGTGGCTTCTATGCCCAGCACTTGTCTCGAGGTATCTTTACCACCTGGAGGAATTACGATACTCGGTAAATTCGATATGAGGCACGAATTCTATTTAAGGGTTGTAATTAGGAAGGAAGAAGAAAAGCTATAGATGTAGCATATGAAGGAAACATGGGAGGATTGATTATTTCTTTGACATATCTTCTTGTATAGTACCTTAAGTATGTATAGGTTTTAAACTACTAACTAATTTGCACACACATATTAACATAATAGGAATACGGTGACATAAACAAAGCAAATCTATAATTACCATCCATCTCCAGTGAAGCCAAGAAAACCATTTAGGCACCCTAGGCATTTGTGAAAATTTATCTATGATATGATGGATATTGTCCAACTGTACTTGAACCATCAGACAAATTAAAGCAGCCCATTTCTGGGATCTGTTCACATCCCATATGTTCTTTTAACCGTAGATAGTCTATAGTCATGAGATTTTGGAGTGCTACAACTTGCACCCCTCCCAACTCCTGGTTGAGTTCCAACAGTACAGATCCGGTCAAATTCATTGTCTCACTGTATGCACATGCCAGCCTAGACATCTCCCTCCTCATTCCTATGGCAAGTCCAGGAGATGGTGGGCTGGATGCAGCCACAACCGCAGCATCGTCCGGATCCCTGCCCCCATGGGTTTTTTAACTGAAGTCTGTAAATGCATCCACCCATATGTTTCCTGTACAAGCACTGTTGTTGGCTAGTGCTGCCCAGCGCTACTGACGACTTCTGAGACAGGTGGTCTGTGTGCAGAGCTTTGGGGAGCAATACAGTGTGATGGATCAGGAATTAGAAAGTTATCATATTCTTTGAACATTTCTGGGAAGTCTTCCTAAGAAAACAATTTAGGAGAAGATGAACACTATGAGAAAAATTTAACACTGCATTAGGAATAATATCTAACACATAACTAACCCAAGGAAGTGCTCAACAGCTGGAAAGTGTTTGGAGAGTTACGCTGCACTTAAACAAATGGAATGACATATAATCCTTTAAAATTATAAACAAGATGATAATGCTGTAATATGGTAAAACATTTATGATGCAATGTGAAAGTAAAAAGAAGTCCAAAGCTGTGTGCAGATTGTGAGGAAGCTTGAGAAACTGCTGCCAACATTGTATACTTCTAACTGTTGCAAAAAATAGGAAGAATATGCAAAAAGGAGCATAGGTGGGTTGGTATAATTGTTATGATTCATTTTCAGAATTAAAGTCAATACAATTTTACATATACTTTTCTTAAGTAGATATTTCAGGTCTGCACCTACAATAGAAATACAAGCACAGAAATCTCCTTTGTATAGTTTCTAAAGGACTAAAAATAACAATATCCTTTATTGATACCACACAATGAAAACTAGGTGATTATTCCATAGAGGACACACTATAGGTAGCAAGCCCCTGGCAAAATAAAATGTGCTGTTTCTTTACAAAAATGTTAAGTACCAGGAATATTACTCAGCCATAAGAAAAAAACAGATCCTACCATTCGCAACAACATGGATGGAGCTAGAGTGAAATAAGCCAGGCGGAGAAAGACAAGTACCAAATGATTTCACTCATATGTGGAGTATAAGGACAAAGGAAAACTGAAGGAACAAAACAGCAGCAGAATCACAGAACCCAAGAATGGACTAACAGTTACCAAAGGGAAAGGGACTGGGAAGGATGGGTGGGAAGGGAGGGATAAGGGCGGGGAAAAAGAAAGAGGGCATTACGATTAGCATGTATAGTGCGTGGGGGGGCAAGGGGAGGGCTGTGCAACACAGAGAAGACAGGTAGTGATTCTACAGCATCTTACTACACAAGATGGACGGTGACTGTGAAGGGGTATGTTGGGGGGACTTGGTGAAGGGGGGAGCCTAGTAAACATGATGTTCTTCATGTAATTGTAGATTAATGATAACAAAATAAAAAATAAAATAAAATAAAAAATGTTAAGTACCATTAAGTTTTATTTTGCCTCTGCTACCCCAGGTGACTTCATTTTCATTTGTTTGAGATGAGTGGCCTCTCTGTGGCATTCCCACATTTTTTAGGTCAAGAACTGATTTGCGAGGATCTCTCAAAAAATACAATTGTATAAATCCAAATATGAAATTTTAGGGGAGGAGTAACACTCTCAAGTATGGCTGTGGTGACAGTGTAATGAACAAGAATCTGTTGGAAGTTAAAGTCAAACTGGGTAAAACCACAGAACATCCTCACAGGGTTCCAGGAAGGAGAGAAATGACTTCCCTGAGAGCATCAGAATGCAATGCTATGATTAATAATTCCCCATGAGTAGTTGTACTTAAGCTTCACAAGCCTCTGAGATAGGCACTGTTTTCTCCCTTTCATGATGATGAAGCTGAAGCTCAGAGAAGCAAACACTACTTTGGAATACAAATGGAGTCAGTGACTCTGGCAGATTTTGGACAGTGCATTTGCCCACTTACCCTCCAGATTTCAAAACTCCTAGTGGGTGTTTCCTTCAACAAACAATGGTAAAGCTAAAGCACCCATTTGTGTGAGTGACCACAACAAAATAAAGTTGAAGGAGAGGGCTCCGCAGGTTCATGCTGCTCATAAAGCAACTCATGGGAGTTTGTTTCAAAATAGCTCGTTTAAAAGATTTGTTTGGAAGAAGTGCACAGGTTCAACAAGGCTAACCTGGTTTCCTAGAAACTTTGGATCATGCTGCAGTTCCCCTAGAATATTAACCTGAGCATTCTTGTAAATAATTAACCTTCCTGATATTAGGTAAATATAATGAAAAAGTCTTTTATTGAGTTAATAGGATACCTAAAACTATAAGTAAAGGAAGCATGTTACCATCATGCAATTTTTCATTTTGCTATTCAGCCTCCAATTTATTTTATTTTGATATCCAACCACTAAACTATAATTGTATTCTGCATCTCACTTCTGGCCTTAACAAAATTTTGGAACAAAAGAGGCTCTATATGATGGTGTTCCTCAAAGATTACTCCTTAACAGCACAAACTGGGGTGTATTCTCAATTTCACTTTATCCTCCTTGCTTTCAAAAATCTAATCATTTGCAAAGATTTCTTGTTAACAATCAATCACCTTCCAGTAAAGCACTCCATTTGTGGGCCAGATCTTTTGTGTCACTCTTAAGTAAAGTAAAGCATTCTATCAATAGAAAACCCACACATCTCTTACAGGCAGTACACAGCTGGAGGGAAGGCAGCAGTGGTCCCAGAACCACTTGTTTGGTAGGGTCCCAGCATTGTCTTTCCATTGCTCTTTCCTTCCTTCATCCCTTCTATTCCCAGCCTTTAGCAATACCCTTACTTTCTAAATTGATTTGCAGCCACAAAAGAGATAAAGGTGTGTGGTAGAGATATCAGGAGTGGGAATCAAGACCACTGAGTCCAAGTGACACTATTTAATTGTATGACCCCGTGCAAATCACTTCCTCCCTACCACTATTTCCTAATCTATAAATCCAGGGAGTTGAAGTGCTGATGTTTGTTCTGTAAACTAGGTAACTGACTATTAAGTATCTCTTCCCCAGTATGTACATTACCTGGTAGACTAGGCACTCTCTTAGTAAACTCTGATTAATTCTACTCTTCATTACTTAATATCTCTTTGAGGGAGGAAGCAATTCTTCCTCGTTATTAGTTAAGAATCATGAAATTTGCCAGTCTCTCTCCTTTCAGGCATTTCTAAAATATTCCTACACTACAGCTAATATTTTTGAAATATCTCCTGATGTATTTATTGCCCTTTTTTGTTATGTTATTTTCTTTCAATGGCCTGCTTCTATCATTAAGGCTAAGCTAAGAAGTTTATTGCTGTACGGAACAAGAAGATAGGTCCCGTCCAAAATAAATCCACCCATAAATAAGGAATCATAGGATTGTGTTGTGGGGGAAGTTCCTACCACACAGCAAAGGAAAGTAGAAGCTACCCAGAGAGGAAGGGGAAAGGTTTTTTAAAAGGAAGAGTGACGAGCCATCCAGCTTTCTCAGGGACCACATTTCCCATTCCCTTGAGTCCTGACCAGGGGCAGGTGTGTGGTACAGTGAAGAGCAGTTGAGGGGAAGCTGCAGTAAGGAGGCCTGTGCGCTGTGTCCCATGGGTAACTGTGGGAAGACACACTTCACTGGGTGCCCTTGGCCTATGAGGGGTCTGGGCAGAGAGAAAGCCAAAGGTAGTGTCCCCTGACTGTTGCTTACCTGCCATGTGACAGAGGAGTGTGAGTGATCCAGATTCTCTCCCATGCTCTCAACAGAGACACGGAAGACATCTAGGAGATAAGAGGCAGGGCTGTGGCAAAGGGAAAAGGGATTCCACGGCAAATAACTTGAGCCAAATGGAAATCATGGTGATCCTCAAGAAGAGCTGTAACAAGAAAGGCAGGGCATCCCCATATCCTGGCCGTGAAGAGTACAGACTTTACATTCCACCAGCCGCAGACACGTCAACCTGGTAGACACTGAGCACAGAAGCCAGTATGTAGAGGCCAGCAAGATAAGTTTCCCCAACAGAATGCCCAGGGGCCAAACCTTTGCTTAGGGTAATGAGAACTCAGGGACCTGCCTGCCAACCACCTCCTCTTCTATTATGGGAGGACACTTGAGCTCTCCCCTAAGCCACCAGGCATAAAGGAGAGAGAGGGATAAACACAACAGGGGAGAGAGACAACCGCTGTAAGGAGATTAACCCTGGATTTGGTTGAATATTGGTCTGAAAAAGACTGAGCTAAGATGAAAGAGGACTTTAAACTTGCAAAGGCTGCTAGAAACTTTTTTAGGTTGACATATATACTTTATATACAATGAAACATACCAATTTTAGGCCTGCGTTTCAATGACTTCTGACAAATGTATACACTCGGGTAACAACAACCACCACAATCAAGATATAGAACACTTTCATTAGCCGAACATTCTCTCATGCTCCTCTGTAGTCAGTCTCTATCAACCTCAGCACCACTCCACCCCTGATTTGCTTTCTGCCAATATGATTATTGTGTTAGCCAAGAATTCCATAAAAATGGAATCACACAATATGGACTATTTTGCTTCTGGCCTCTTTCACCCATGATAATGTTTTGAAATTCATCCAGGTTGTTGTGTGTATCTGTAGTTGATTCCTTTTTACTGCTAAATAGTATTCTATGTTATAGGTATATTACCATTTATTTATGAATTCATCTGTTGATGGACATTAGGGTTGTTTCCAGATTTAGACTATTGTGAAAAAAGCTTCTGTGAATATCTATGTACAAGTCGTTCTGTGGACATGTGTTTTCATTCTCTCAAGTAAATACCTAGGAATGAAATTGCTGCATCATATTATAAGTTTATATTTAACTTTAGAAGAAACTGCTAAACAGTTTTTCAAGATGACTATACATTATTACTAGTAACATATTAGATTTGAAGTTGCCTCTGTGTGTAAGGGATTATTCTCACTGTAGTTTTAACTTGCCCTTTTCCCTGCTGACTAAGGTGTTATATTTTTCACATGTAATTATTAACTATGCATGTATCTCTTTTGTGAAGTGTATTCCAATAGCATGCCCACTTTTAATTGGGTTGTTTGTCTTATTATTGAGATACAAGAATTATTAGTATGTTGTAGATACAAGTCCTTTGTAGATATTTGTATTACAAATATTTTCTCCCACTCTGACTTACCCATTGCTACTGAATGGTGTATTTTGAAGGGCAGAATGTATTAATAAACTGGAATTTATTATTTTTCCCATATAGTCATTCATATTCCTATAAGTTAGTGATGGACAATCAAAAACTGAAATTTTATAATGCTACATTACAGTAGCATCAAAAAACATGAAATCACTAGGAAGAAATTTAATACATTATTTGCAATATTTGTACATTAAAACTATAAAACAGTGGTAAGAGAAATTTATAAATGCCTAAAAAAGAGAGAGATACCATATCCATTCTATGGAAAACATGGAAGATATCATATCTACCCAAGTTGATAGATAGTGTCAATAAAATCCCAATCAAAATTCCAGTTTTTTAAAATAAAAATTGACAAACTGATTCTAAAATTCTTATGGAAAGGCAAAGAACCTAGAAAACCCAAAATAATTTTTAAAAGGAAGAAGAATGAAACTTGAAGTTGCACTAACTGATTTCAAGACTTACTCTACAACCGAGGTATTCAAGGTAATGTGATATTGGCATATTAGACCAGTGGAATAAAGAGTCTAATGTACACATTTATTCATATGGAAAAAAATGGATCTCAAGTCTTACTTTACACCCTATACAAAACCTAACTTAAAATGGATAATGATCTAAACACAAAAACAACATCTATAAAACTTCTCAAAGAAAACGTAGGAGAAAATCTTCATACTTTGGGGAAAGGCAAAGGTTTCTTAAACAGGACAGAAAAGCAAAATGAACTCCCCACTGTTGCCTTCTTAGAGGCTTGCAAAGAGGTTTAGATTTATTCTAGCAGCAAAGAAGCTGTAGTATTTTTTCACATCTGTGTTATTCGAATAAGTCTCAACTCTAACACAACTCACTGGAGAAGATGTCCAGGTGGACTCTACTGTCGCCTCTGTAGTGGGGAGGAACTCCTTCAGGATACACCATTTGCAGTCCTTAGAGTGTCCCATCTGAAGCTCTTTCATCTACATGCTCACCCCTGTCTCTCTAGAAACAAGAGGGAAACGCAGAATACCATTTCTGGTAATGGAATCTCAATGTTCTCAACCACAATCTGTTTGGCTCATGACTGTCTGGCTCCGTGTTCAGTCCATGTAAATGACCATGTCCTTAGCCAAACTGCCTCACTTCCAGTCCATACATATGACTCCCACCTTTTCCTTGATGCCATAAATTTCTTGCGACTCAGTGAAAAAGTCAAGCTTTACTATCTTTGTTTCCTTTACCTTCAAATTCCTTCCTTCCTCTTCCATATCTGACATGTATCATTTTCTACTGCAGCTGTCTTCACCCCACCCCATCCCTCAAAGTCATTTCTCCCTTTTATAGAGTCTTAGAGATGTCCATACATGGCTCTCCTGGCCCTTATCAAATACACTGCTGTTATCTATTTCTCTTTGTCTCTCTACCATTAGACTATAAGCTCCATAGAACAGAAACTCCCTTCAGTCATCCTTGTATCTTTCTCTTACTTTCCCCACCACCCCTACACCCCAATAAACACACACACACGATGCCTGGTACAGAGTAAGAGTTCTATCAGTGTCTAATAAATGAATGAAACAAGTTTTGCCTTTGCCAGAAAAAACCCCATCAAGTCATTAGAAATAAATTAAGAACATACATAACCATCACTAGTTTTAAAATGGCAATTCAAACTAAAAGAAACACAAAAGCACTTCCACCTTCACCAGAGAGGTCTAAACTTCAGACATAAAGCAAGAAAACCAGCCATTACCACTACAAGATGAAGAGTATTTAGCCCAACCAGCTTCCCTCTAAATGATGCACACCCAGGAGCCAAGCATACTGTCCAGAGATACCTGCCAGTACTTAGGGCTCAAGTCTTCATTTCCTGGGCCAGAGAGTAAGCCACAAAATAGTGATAATAACAACAGTTACTATTTGGGGGGCATACCTTCACCAGAGAGGTCTAAACTTCAGACATAAAGCAAGAAAACCAGCCATTACCACTACAAGATGAAGAGTATTTAGCCCAACCAGCTTCCCTCTAAATGATGCACACCCAGGAGCCAAGCATACTGTCCAGAGATACCTGCCAGTACTTAGGGCTCAAGTCTTCATTTCCTGGGCCAGAGAGTAAGCCACAAAATAGTGATAATAACAACAGTTACTATTTGGGGGGCATTTAATCCACCAGGCTCTGAATTCACAGCTATACATATGTTATCTCATTTTATCCTTATCCCAACCCTGTGAAGGAGGTATTATAATTTCCACTGTACAGACAGGGTTAAGGAATGCTCTACCTATCCAAGATTCAACTTCAGCCTGACTTCAAAAGCTTGTGTCTTAATCACTGCATCCTGTTGCTTTCCCCTGGCCTCTAAGCTCTGTTATGGTAGAAGCCATCACTGTTAGGCTCAGTGTCACGTTGTAGAAAAGGCGCCTGGCATCTATTTGCAAAATGTTGTGCTTAAATGTAAGCCTCTTATGGGAAAGAAAGATGTCTTGCTTTCCAGTCACTTGATATTTTATTACTCCCCATTACCAAGGATTAAATATATCTGATTCTACCCCAACACAGGACTCAAGGCCCTGTTTAACATCCTGGCCTATGACTAGGAATCACAGAGGACACCATGTGCATTGAAGGGCAATGTTCGAAGTATGCCATGAGAGAATTCCAATGCTTTTCTGCAGTAGAGCAAAGCATTCCAGCTGGTAGTCTTACAGACTTCTATCCTGGGGCAAACAAAAGCTCCAAAAAGGACTGAATGCGGGAAGGAAGTTAAAGAAGCTCCTCTCTTGGGTTTTTACAGTGGCTGGCCCAAGGACCCAACTGTTCATTCCACTTGGAGTCTCTGGGTCTGAGGGATGCCTTCCAATGCATATGAATCTATTTATTTTTGTTCTTTGGTGACATTACACATGCACTATGAAAAAAAAATTTGTTCTTAGGTGGAGAAAGCCTAGTGATCCACTTTTTTTTTTTTTCTTTCTGCTTCTCTTTGCTTAGTCCACAAATAAGCCCTGGTAACAGTGTAGTAGTTACTGACTTGAACCAGAGAGTTTTAGGTGTCAGTCAGGGACCTTTGGGCACTAAAATGAAATGCTGACCTTTGTTAATGAAGCAGCCAACATTTTTACATTGTTGTGTGAGCCTCGGGGATAGGAATACTTTACCCAAGACCTAGAATAAATAGCAGTGATTTATATGGTATTTGGTCTACAGAAGGGAGAGAAAGGTAACGGCTTGTAATTCACATAAGAGGCAGAGCCTAGAAAGCAAGCTTCTTTCATACCCAGTCAGCTCCTAATCCAAAGAGCCACTGATTCTAGGCAATATCAGAAAAATGCTTACTCTTGAGTTTAACAGTTTGTTGACAGTGCAGTTCATAACCAGAAGCTTGCCTCCAATCACCATTTTCTGCAGTAATAGAGTTCTTTTCTCTCTTATTTGGAAGTACATGTGATAAAGGTCATAGGCCTGAGCTGTAGTTTTCTCTGACAAAATATATAATATGCAGTCAAATATCCCAATGCCCGGCACAATGCCCAATATAAAGCTGGTTGCTCCACAGTTGTGTGGTTCAGTGAATAAATTTTTGCATCTACCTCAGTGGCCTTGAAGAATACTTTAATTCTAACTTTGCATACTCACAGCATATGGAATTATTAGGTCAGAATATGTTCTATGAAAGGCTTCTTGGCTGCAGACAACCTTAGGGTTTGGGATGCATTTCACAGAGCCTTTTTGTTAGTTGACAAGAGAGCCTTTTTCTGCAGAACAGTGCTTCCTGCCCATCCATAACAGTTTCCACACTCTGTAATCGCTGCTACCCTCCTTGCTGTTAAAATGGGAAGGGCAGTGAGTCAGATATTTCAGCTGGCTAGAAGTTAACCCTTCAAGACACAGAGGGATGTGGTGGAGCGCTGGCGTTTGAAAGAGAATGCAGGCAGGTCTGCGCTCAGCGTGTGTCAGCTCCCCCTGAAGAGCAGGGCACCTGGCTGCTTCAGGGCCTGGGACAGAGCCAGAAGAACAGCAGGCATTCAATAAGTAGGTAGTTAATGGACATCTCCCTTTCTCAGATCACATGGGGAGGGAATGCAGAGAGCTTGAGGAATGGAAACAAGCAATTACCCACCCTCTCTTTGTTCTTTTTAGCCACTGTCAAAACAGATTAACCAGCCTTCCCAGAATCCTGTGTGAACAAATTTCACCGAGTACACCAGGGCTGGCCAGGCCCTGACCCCAGAACAGGCCAAACCTGGAAACAGAACTTCACTTCCTACCTATGTAATGAAAAAACTCATATTTTTTTTCCTTCCTGAGTAGGAAAAACAGAGTTCTTCCTTACTGTGTATTTCTCTCCTGGGTCTCCTTCATTACTCACCCAAGACACTTCCCTTCTGACACTTCTGGTCACCAGCCGTGTAGGCGTGTTTCCCCACACCAGCAAGCCATTCTCAGACACCAGCCGGTATCCAAGGATTCAACTCAATTCCAACAATATCTACCTGGAGGTAGTGTCAGACCCCACAGGTTCCATCAGTCCCACGGACTTCCTCCTGCCTGCAGATGCCAGTGACAAGCGCAGATTGTCAGAGGTTCTAGCGACCCTCTCTTGGGTTTAGTTGATTTGCTACAGTGGCTCCTAGACTCAGGGAGATGCTCACTCACGCCTACCAG